TAATACACCCATCTGTTAACACTTCCTCACTATAGAACACATGGTTTCTCGATCTCAGTACCATTACTATTTGGAGCTGTACGCTTGTTTGCTTTGGAGGCCTGTTCCCTACATGGAAGGGTGTTCAGCAGCATCCCTGACTTCTACTCACTAAATCCAGCAGCTGTGCTCCACTTCCACAGGTGACAGCCAAAAATGTCTCCAGACATTGTTAAATGTCTCCTGCGAGCAAAATCACTTCCAATCTTCTAATCTAAGATATTTCATAGTTTGGTTAGCTTTATATCTCAGTATTTTAAATTAAGGATCTCAACTGAAGAGTGTGATTCAGGATGAATATTGTTGTATGGGTGATAGTTACATCTTGTTAGGTAAAAGCATTAATTTTACTATTGTCTTTATTGAAAGCTAAATATGGTTAGAAGGACTGGCATGGTGTTATACGCCTGTGATCCAAGAACTTAGAGGCTGAGACAGCAGGATTGTGAGTTCAAGGCCAAGCCTGGCCTACAAAGTGAAACCCTATCTCAAAAATAAATAACAATTAATAAATAAAAATGATCATAAGAGGTATATTATGGATGCCAAGTTGACAAGGGGAAGACTGGTGGGGGGTTGTACTGTATCTATTTAGTTAAGCTGGAGACTATGCTTTGATAGACTCCTCTCCTCTGTATGTTTCCAACTTAAAGTTGACCAACACTCTAACTGCCTATGACCTGACAGGCAGAGGTAAAGCCACAATCACTTTTTTGATGGTTTCCTACACTGTGGTAATGAACAGACACCCACTCCCTAATGAACGCAGCTCTGTGTTCAGAAACTATTTCCCAACTTGTGTTTTTTGTTTGTTTGTTTGTGTTTTGCGGGACTGGGCTTTGAATTTAGGGCTTTGTGCTTGCAAAGCAGGCACTCTACCTCTTGAGCCACACCTCCAGTCTATTTTGCTCTGGGTATTTTGGAGATAGGGTCTCATGAACTATTTGCCCAGGCTGGTTGTACCCCGATTCTCCCAATCTCAGCCTCCCAAGTAGATGGGATTACAGGCATGAGCCACTGGTGCCCATCTTGTTTCCCACTTCTGATCTTGCTAATCAAGAGCTGTCCCAGCCCACTACTTGGGTATAGACAGAATCAAGAGCTCCCCGCAGATCTCCTCAGAAACTGCCCAATTGCAGTCCCACTTCAGCAGCTGGACACCTAGGTTCTCAGCCTGATCTACCAACTTCCTTCTGAACCTCTGCTTTCCTAGATCCTCTCACAATGGTGTAAGGCCTAATTCCTACAATAAATCCTGTAACATTCATGTGTGACTACTACTCTCACCGACCCTTGAAGACACAGGGAATAGTCTATACCATCCAGTGGTTCTTGCTGTAGACTGTGAAGATAAAGAAAGAAATCCGTCTACCCTTGCATGACCTATGCATCCATCCTAAAGTTTTTTAATTAGTAAGGAGTCAGTAAATGAATGTACTTCAGTCAGCAGAGTGATAAAATATCTATCAGTTTTGACTTAAATACTCCACATGCTTATAATCCTATTCTTTATCAGAGCAATCACTTCATGAAGAGATTCCAAAGTTAAAACCCTTGTTAGAATGAAGACTATTAAATTTCTCGAGTGAGGCATGGTGGTGCACACCGATAATCCCAATACTCATGAGACTGAGGCACAAGGATCATGAGTTCCAGGCCATGTAGTGAGACTCTGTCTCCAAAAGCAAACAAACAAAAAACATAAAAAACCCACAAATAAACCTCTTCTCAGAATTACATTAGACAAATTTCATTCAATGATTTAAAATATAGCACTGTGGTTTAATTCAACTTGTTAAGAAAGAGAAGGGGATGAAAGTGGCTAAGTTTTAGTTAAGAATCTTTACCTTTGTATTCTTTATAACAATTGGATACTTCATCCCTAAGAAAAAAAAAGTAAGATTTTTTTAGCAAAACAATACCACCATTATTTGAAATATACAAGTAACAAATTCAATTGACTTTCTTCTACCATAATTGCACCATACTTTTCATTCTGAAGCTTTTTGCCAAGTAAAAGATTAAACTAGTTCATACTTGACAATATACAAAACCAGCATGTTCTTTTAAGCTTGTTTTATTTTAATTCATTTAATTTATACTTATAAATCAGCTCAGCTCCAATGCAGATGGTTCCAACTTTTCATGAACTACAATCCTGGGAATCATGCTGCACAATGGATCCGTATAAATCAGATGGAATTTTCCCACAGAAGTAAAGCTATAACAGAAGAAACTTGGGTGTTCTAGTGCTGGTTATCTAATTCCTTGCAGAGTCTGGGTTGTTTAGAGAAATAAGAGTTGTCATAACACAAACAATTCCAGTAATAATTTGACCATTTATAAATTAGTTCCAAATCATTTACATGAATTATAGTCTTAGAAAATATATGTACAGCAAAAACAGAATGCAATGTAACAGTGTCATTAATTTGATTTATAATGATACCTATATAACAATCATATTTCACAATTTCATTAAATTCTGTTCATCATTTTAGATTTTAGAAGGACACAGAAGACTAAATCATATAACCTAGATTTCCTTTACAACCTGTCAAAGAACTTTTTTACTCCCTCAAATTTCACTGCAATAAACAGACTTACAAATCTTTCACTTGGCTAAAATAATGTCATCAGAGAAAAACAAACTCAAAAAAGTCTAAAATGAAATGGGGGAGGAGAGGCTTAGAATAGACAAGTCTTTTCATGACCTTATGCTGTCATTCTGAAATTTGGATGTGTCCAAGAATCACTAACTGCTGAGCACTGGTGGCTCACACCTGTAAACCTAGAAATTTGGGAGGTTGAGATCTGGAGGATTGTAGTTTGAGGCCAGTCCAGGCAAACAGTTTCATTGAGACCCATCTCCAAAATAACCAGAGTAAAATGGACTGGTGGTTTGGCTTAAGCAGCAAAGTGCCTGCTTTGCAAGTCCAAAGCCCTGAGATGACACCCCAGTCCTACCAAAAAAAAAAAAAAGAAAAAAGGAAAAAAGAAGCACTAACTGCTTGCTATTCCTAAGCCCTGGCATGAGACAACCTGATTCAGTAAATCTAGAGGATGCTAAAATCTGTACTTTTAACAAGCATTGCCAAGAAATTCTGACTCTAACATACACAATAGGGAAGAGTTTGGGGCTTACTCTCCACACAGTGCTTGGCAGTTCAGATATTAGCACCAGTCAGATTGTTTAATCAGTGCCTCATTCTACTGGCACAAGATCTCCTAGGGATTCTGGTTTTCCTACATCCAATCTCACTCTTGTCCTTTTGCACCCACCTCTAGCTCTGTGCCCTACTCTCCTGATAGCCCTCCTACCAGCACTATACCAGACAAAACTAACCCAAGTTTGTCTTTTAAATCAGTACAAGTATTCAACAGAAAACACAAGGATGGCTTACCATTTTTACTTCCGTCAGCCATTTTAATATCTTTTACTTCAAAATCAGTCAAAACAGAGCCACCTGCTTCTTGGAAATCCTGGGCAAATGACAACGCTACCTGCCGATAGTCCACAATGCCAGTATATGGACAATCAATGGCCAATAGACCCTAGGACAGAATTACAAAAAAGTCAAATGACATAATTAAAAAACAATGAGGTTTCTTCAGAATTTTACTTTAGCTGTTTTTACTTGTTTTTACTTATTTTTTAAATGTTTTTATTAGTGTATAATAGGTTACTTGTTTATTTTGATAGGTAACACACATTTTTGCTTGACAAAAATCTGATTGTCTTAAAGAAAAAGAAACATAAAAGTTAGCTCCATAAAGTGCTTGAATATAATATACGCATATATTATGTACATATAATGCATATATTAATACACAATCTGTTTTATATAATAAAATTATATATATTTATATATACATATACACACCCCTCTCTATAATCACAAACCAATTTTTCTCCTTAGGAGTTAATTTTGCTTTTCCAGCAGCTATGGGTTTTCCAGTTTTATTCAGCCCTTACCACTTCAGACATACTCACTGAGAACTCAGTTGTACTAGCTAGCTACTCACTGATTTGCTGCAGACCCTAACTTCAAGACTCTAAATACAGAATGGAGATTTTATAGATGAATTCAAACTTTCTCTTCAGGTAATATGAAAAATGAACAGCCTGTTTTTTTGTGCTTGTTTCTGTCACTGAAGACGTAATTAAACTGTAGATGACCTAAACCCTTGCTTATTTTATTTTTTGGAATGAATGCTGAATGTGCCATTGGCCTTTTCTGATTCTGAAGAAAAAGGTAAGAGCAGAATTTCACACACTGAGTACTGACTACATTTTGGTGATAGCACCATTTTCTATTGCCTACTGTGTATATGAGTAAGTCAGTGCTCTCAATTTCTCTTAAGAGGGTAACCAGTTCAGTACTGTCATTGTTGCAATTTTTAAAACAGTATCTCAAATAATATTATTTTAAATATTTCACTGTTGTATTCACCACCCATCCTATCCTAACACATACTTGCTTGACCCTTAAAAGCCTTTGACTTTGCAACTCCCCCCTCCACTAATGTTTCCAGATGGTCAGATGCTGTTAAGGTTAAAGGCTCACAAAACACCAGTCTCTTCTTCAAAAACTGAAAGCAACGTTTGGAAAAACTTCACTGTTATCCCAACAGTCTTGTTTCCAGAATATAAGAGCATTTGCTATAAACAGGTAATCATTCCTTCTGTTTTGGTGCAGTTGTTAAATGTAAGACTACATTAGTCCTGCTTACTGCCCAACAATCTCTAATTTATAGGTCAATAACTGGAACTCAACTTTAACCTACAGGTAATATTTGGGTGCAATAACTTTGGAAGTTAGTGTAGGATATCAAGAGTTTAATCCACAAAAACTTCTTTACTTAGCATAAAACTGTTACAAGTATAACAGAGAGCTACATATGTGCTGTTAAGTGTTTCATTATGAATCAATAGTTTTTTAGAATCCCAAATATCCTCTTTATTTTATACTCCTATTACCCTGCACAATACCTGACACACATAAGTCACTCAAATATTTACTGAATAAATAAACTTTTGAAGGCTATTATTAAGCATACTGGGTTTCTGGTGACGGAGTGGCTTAAGTGGTAGAGTCTCTGCCTAAAGCCTGAGGCCCTGAGTTCAAACCCTAGTACCACCTAGAAAACAAACAAAAAATGCTAGATTTCCACCCCTCCAGCACTCCCCTAACAGGTCTCCCTTCTCTTCTTTCTGTTTCTAGTCTTGGCTTTCTCCTTCTTGTGAGGTGTTAGAATGCTCCATATTAAGGGAAGGTGGAGTAAGCCACCACTGTGAAGCAAACCAATGCCTCGTTTAGGACTGGCTGCAGGGCACGGTCAGCAAAGCTGAGATGGGGCTGGTGGACAGGCTGGCTGTATTCATCAGTGGGAGGCTGGGCATGTACTGTCCAGGTCACCACGTTTCAACTTGAAATCTGTAGCCACAGGTCAGGTTGCTAGAACAAAACCAAGAAAGTGGCACTGGAAAAATTGGGAGAACTCAGTCAGGAGACAGAGGAACAATGTTAAAAGGCAGAAGGAACAGCAGAGCTGAGATCAGAGGTAACAGTGAGGATCTGCCCACACAGGGAGCTGTCAAGAGTTATCTTCTGCTGGGTGCTGGTGGCTCAGGCCTGTAATCCTACCTACTCATGAGGCAGAGATCAGGAAGATCACAGTTTGAAGTTCTGTGAGACCCTATCTCGAAAACCCTTAAAAAAATAGGTTAGTGGAGATGGCTCAAGGTGAAGGACCTGAGTTTAAGCCCCTATACCAAGAAAAAAAAAAAAGATATCCCCTACTTGAATCCCAGCTACTCAGGAGGCAGAGGTAGGAGGATTGTAAGTTTAAGGCCAACCTGGCCAAAAGTTAGAAACACCCTATCAGAAATAAAAATACAATAAGAGGCTTGGGGCATGGCTCAAAAGGTAAAGCGCTTGACAGCATGCACAGGCCCTGGGCTCAACCCTCAGTACTGGGGAAGAGAGGGATTATCCTGATAAACTTTATCTTTCTGAAAGGCCGAAGAGAAACAGATGGGACCCGTACTGGGAAATTTTGCCCAACATTCTCAGTAGTCGTGGTGAGATTAGGGGAAAGGAGAGGAACTTTTTAATTTTTTTGGCAATACTAGAGTTTGAACCCAGAGCCCCACAATTGCTAGGCAGGCACTTTACCACTTGAGCCATGCTTCCAGCCCTTTTTTGCCTTGGTTCTTTTTCTTTTTTTATTATTTTTATATTTATTTATATATGTATACATTGTTTGGGCCACCTCTCCCTCCGCCCCCGACCAACCCTCTGCCTTGGTTATTATTCAAGTAGTGTCTTTTTTTTTTTGGCATGGGCTGTGACTCTCCTATTTATGCCTCCTGTATACCTGGGATGATAGGTGTATACCTCCACATCTGGCTTTATTGGTGGAGACAGGACCTCACTAACTTTTTGCCTGGGCTGGCCTCAAACCATGATCCTCCTAATCTTTACCTTCAGAGGAGATGGAATTACAGACATGAGTCACCATATCTGGTGGAACTTACTCTTATGAAAAATCAGACTATATTTTCCTCTATTTATTGCCACCCCTTAATAATCCCAAACTGGCCTTGCGTAAGGTATATCACTTCTGCAGAGGCCTCAGACAGAAGCAGAATCTAACTCTTTTATAAGTTAAACTACTCATTCATCTTCAAGTAGGGTTCATCTTTGAGAAGACCTTTTTAAAACCTTGGACAAAACTAAAAGCACTGCCTTAACTGTGGCACAAGTCAAGAGCATTGGCTCTTTCAGAATGCTTTACATGTTATGCCAAAACATTACCTTTGGACTGGAGGAGGGGCGCAAGTAGTAGAGCGCTTGCTTAGCAAGCGTGAGGCCCTGAGTTCAAACCCCAATACCAAAACAAAAAACAACACAAAAAAAACCCATCTTCTGCTACACTACAACTTTCTTCAGGTCAACAGCCATGCTTTACCCATATTCATACCTGCAATACCTAACTATAGTGTTTTGGCACTTAGTAAACAAGAAAATTTTGGACGAACCAAACAGAAAAGAACTGAGTCAGTTCTTGGGCAGAGCACTCCTTAGGAACTGCGTGACCCTGAGAAACAGTTTCCTCATTTATAGACAAATAATATGCATATTGGTAATTGTTTTATCTGTGTACACATACTTATCTCCCTCATTTCAACGACTTAGGAGGATCACATGTCAGGTGCAAGGACAACATATATAGGATAAAAATGTGCTTAGCCATTACAACATGTGAGAAGTTTTGATGTTTTTAAACAGTAAAGCCTGATATAAAGAATCATGGGTTCCTGTTTCTTTTCAATCTTTAAAACTCTTTACAAGGAACAAACAGACAATAATCAGATAGAATCTTCCAAATTCTCCAAATTTTAGTACCACAAGGAAACCAGTAGTTCTATTTTTTTTAACTTCATGACCAAATCTACAGTGATATCAGCTCAGATGTTCTTTCCCTTTTTGACACCAATCTTTAAAGAGCTTTTCATTACCAAATAAAAAATTTAAAACATGCTAAAACTGGCATGCCTTTCTGAAGGTTATAAATTGTTTTATTCTCAAAGCGTAACACTTGATAAGAACATGTCAATGAGACTCTAACATCTTAGTTTCACAACTAAACTCCATCAGAATCACACAAAGCCTCAAAACACTAAGTTTTAAGTTCAGTTTCAATAAAATGTATAGGAGGCCATTGTTTTGTTTTAGACTGAGCTCTGGTACCCCAAGCACCAACAGGCACTCTACCATTTTGGAGTTACTCATGCTAAAGTTCTATGTCACCAAATTAAATTGCTTATCTGACCTTCCAAGAAATCAGGACAGGGACAATAGCCAAATCTCCGAACAGGTCAGTTTTAGCCAGCATGATAAGGAAGTTTCCTCTATTCTAATCTTATAAGGAAGGTAACTTTGAAACAACCAATCAGCTTTTCATTCTGTCTCCGCTTTCCTCAGCCCTTTCCTGCCTAGAAAGCCAACCTCCTCTGCTCAGCTCATCAGAGCCCTTTTTCACTGGAAAACTGTAACTAAGACATCACAGTGGTAGTGTAAGAAGAGATAATGGGACTTTAATTAGAGTAGAGACATAGATCCACTCACATACATTCACCTGTTATCCCAAAGGAATACTGCAGTGTGGTGGGGGAAATGATACAATGGTGTTAGGTCAAATGGATATTCACATGGGGTATGAAAATATACCTTGACCTATATTGCATACCATATATAAAAACCAATTCCAAATGGACATGAAAGGTAAAACAAGAAAACTTAAAAAAACACATAGAATATTCGCCAGGCCTTCAGTTAGGTGGATTTCTCAAACAGACACCAAAAAACACTAAACATAAAAATTTATGAATAAATTGCTAAATTGATTACATTAAGAATCTCTGTTCATCTGAAGATACTATTAAAGTGAAAAGATAAGCTATAGAAAGGTAAAAGATATCTGCAACATACATTTAGATATACATATATATCACAAATATATATGTATATCATACAGCACTCATATACATACTATATAATGAACTTCTAAAACTAATAAAAATTGTTAGAAGAAAATGGTAGACCAATAGAAAAATGGGCAAAGAACTCAAATAGGTACTTCAGAAAGAAAAATATTCTAGTGGCCAAATAAACATATGAAAGGGTATATAAATTTGAGTCATTAGGAAAATATAAATTAAAACCATAATATGTGGATAACAGTGGCTAATCCCTGTAATCCTAGCTATTTGTGAGGCAGAGATCAGGAGGATCACGGTTTGAGGCCAACCCAGAAAAACAGTTCATGAACCCTACCTTCAAAATAACCAGAGCAAAACGGCAAAATAGACTAGAGGTGTGGCTCCAGCAGTAGAGAACTTGCTTTGCAAGCACAAAGCCCTGAGATCAAACCCCAGACCCACAAACAACAACAACAACAAAAAAAACCCATAGCATAATACTAAAGATTGAGCATTCCTATCCACAGTCCAAAATCTGAAATGCTTCAAAATCTGAAACTTTTTTGAGTGCTGACATGATACTCAAAAAGCTTCAGAGATTTTGGGGCATTTCAGATTTCGTATTTTTTGAATTAGGGATGCTCAACTGGTAAAGTCTGTGCAAATATTCTAAAATGTGAAAAACTCTGAAACCTGAAAAGCTTTTGGTTCTAAACATTTTGAATAAGGGACACAGCCTGTACCACATGCCCACTAGAATGGCTAAAATGAACACAATAAATACCAGTGTTAGTAAAGATATGGAGCAACTGGAACTCATCAACACTACTGATGAGAATATAAATTGGACAACTGTCTTGGCAGTACCTGCCAAAGCCAAACATATGCATAAACTGCAACCTAACAATTTCTCTCCTCAGAATATGAACATGTATTCCCAAAATATTCACACTAGACTGTTCATAGCAGCACTATTTGGAACAGCTCCAAGGGTTGGCGGAGTGCTTCAAGCAGTACAGCACCTGCCTAGCAAGTGTGAGGCCCTAAATTTCAAATCCAGTGCCATGAAAAAAGAAATCATGGAATAGCTCAAAATTATAAGCTACACTCAAGTTATGGAAACAGCCAAGATGTCCCACTACTGACGAATGGATCAAGAAAATGGTATCTATACACAATGGATTTTATGCAGCATGAAGAAGAACAAAATGTTATCATTCGCTGGTAAATGGATGGAATTGGAGAACATCATTCTGAGTGAGATCAGCCTGCCCAAAGGACCAAAAATCATATGTCTCCCTCATATGCAGACATTAGATCAAGGGCAAACACAACAAGGGATTGGACTTTGATCACATGATAAAGTGAGAGCACACAAGGGAGATATGAGGATAGGTAAGACACCTAAAAAATTAGCTAGCATTTGTGCTCTCAATGCAGAGAAACTAAAGCAGATACCTTAAAAGCAACTGAGGCCAATAGGAGAAGAGGACCAGGAACTAGAGAAAAGGTTAAATCAAAAAGAATTAACCTAGAAAGTAACACACATGCACAGGAAATAATGTGAGTGAACTCCCTGTTAGCTATCCTTATCTCAACTAGCAAAAAACCCTTGTTCCTTCCTATTATTGCTTATACTCTCTTCAACAAAATTAGAGATAAGGCAAAATAGTTTCTTAGCGGTATCGAGGGGTGTGGGGAGGGGGCAAGGTGTGGTAAGGGAGGAGTGGGGGCGGGGGGGGAAAAATGACCCAAGCATTGTATGCACAAAGAAATAATAAAAAAATAAAAAGTAAAAAAAATTATAAGATACACAAATTTCCATTAACAGTAGAACAAACCATGCTGTGTTCACACAATGCACAGCAAAGAACATGCAGCAATGGTAACAACCAAGCTACAACTACATGCAACAATATGAATAAACTTCACAGACAATAATGAATACAAGAAGCCCCAACACAAATCATACCATATGATTCTATATACATAAAATTCAATAACCTACAATGCAAGAAGTTGGATAGTTACCACTAAGAGAAATGTACTAGTAGAGGGCATGAGGGGAATACTGGGAGACTGGAAATGTTCTGTTTTTTTCTGTTTTGTTTTTATCTGGATGCAGGTCACACTTTGTAAAAATTCAATATGCTGAACACTTATGATTTGTTGTATGCTAAGATTCCAAAACATTAGAGCAGACAGAAAATCAGGGAAGAAAAATGAAGAGGAGAGTAGTATATAAAAAATAAAAATGTATTCTTAAGGCCCTACATACTTGGCAAGATGGGGCACAAGTGTGTCTCAAATGCAACAGAACAATGCAATCAGTTAAATTATTCAGTGCCCATAAAATAAAAACAAACCAACTGAACTCAGAAACAAACAAAACTATTCCCATAACTAAGATCTGACAGAAGTATCTTCTAAGGGTTCTCACAAAAAGATGTTGTGTAACAGAGGGAACGACGTATGTCCTCAACCACATCCTTATAATAAAGGCCACAGTGAATGACACAATGACCTTCTCCATAAGCTGATGCCATAAAAACCAAAGCACAATTCAAAGGAAGTAACTGGGGTTAAGTAGTAGCAGGGGGAAGGGACTGCAGTGCCACTCTGATAGTTGTACAGGAATACTAAGTGCTCCACATATCCTTCAGGCTACCTCCCGTAACTACGGGTTTTTGTTTATTTTTTGTTTTGGCAGTAGCACTACCTGACAGTGATCTTAAGGTCACACTCTCTAAGACAGGTGCCTAGAGTCCAACTCTGGTATGGTATTAATAAAATGATGGGAGAGAGTAACAGGAGATACAGCCATTTATTGGAACAGCCAGTGAAACTGAGGCTTGAACTAAAAAGTGTAACTGGAAAAGTTATACTGGCAAGGTTATACTGGAAAGGTAGAGTGACGATTATATTATTATTCACATTTCTTTCAAGACTAAAGATTGTTTTCCCCCATAGTGTATTTCAAGCGAGATACTCTACAACTTGCCCTTCACATTGACACCAAGTATATCTTTCTAAAGTAGAGAGCACTGTCACTACTCTGCTCAAAAATACTCAGTTATTCTCCATGCCAACTGGAATAACTTCAAAATTTTAGTATGAATGCCAGCTCTTTCATTTGGGCCTAATCCTACTTCCCAGCCTTATCTCTTATCTCTCTTCCACACACCCTACACTCTAACCATACCTCACTGTTCAGCATTTATCAAACATGCCATGTAGACCCAGACTCTGTTGCCTTTGTATAGGTTGGTCAGACCTATTATTTTATCACAGGGAAAGAAGAAATCAGTTGTCCAGAGTTCGTGGCAATGCCCTTCCCTGCTATTGTGACAGGATCACCTAACTGATTTTATGATTCCTGTCTCCTATAATTCACCCTCAGCCTTCATGTGGCAGGACTGAGCCCTAAATGAAAATATCCTTTTGACCATGTGCACAAGTGGCAAATCACTCACCCTGCAATATGGCTCCTTCTTTCTTATATCCTCCTGCTGGATCAGCCTCAAGCCTTGAACACCATTTTGTAGGCCTCTCTCATATAGGGCCTTAAGTCTGGGGATTTCTTCTTGTTCAACAGCTACGATTAGCTTCAAAATAAAATGATAAAGAACATGGATAGAGTTAAACACATCATCAGCTGTGAAGACTTAATTCAATGGAAAAAAAAATTTTACACAACTTAATTGATGTAAATTTATTTTTCTTCATGTATTCACTTCAACCTTTCTTCATGAATTTATTTTCTTCCATTACCAAGAAAAGTTGTCTTAAGAAAATGACATTAAAATTAATTTTCCCCAAAGGTGAGATATAGCCCAATTTTTACTTCTTATCATACTCCCTACATGAATCTTGGTCATAAGCAACTCATCATTACCACTCCCTGAATCCCAGAGGCAAGAGAAGCACAAGTTGCTTATCCTTTAAATTTTTCAAAATAAATGGCCTTCTTTTCTCTATAAGGAAATGTGAAATGCCAGTACATCAAAAAGATAGCCAGTCAGACGGCAGAATTGGGAGAACAGCAGTTCAAGGACAACCTGGGCAAAAAGTTCACGAGACTCCATCTCAACCAATGTCTGGGCATAAGAGTGTGCGCTTGTCATCCTAGCTATGCCGGGAAGCACAAATAGGAGGATTGTGGCTGAGGCCAGCCCAGGCATAAAGTAAGACCCTATCACAAAAAAAAAACAGCAATGCAAAAAAGGCTGGTGGAGTGGCTCAACTGATAGAGTGCCTGCCTAGCAAGCACAAGGCTCTGAGTTCAACCCCTAAAGCTGGAAAAAAAAAAAAAAAAAGTCAACATTCCCTGTATGAAGATAACACTGACAGAAAACTACCTTTTTACTTCCTGGGAAAAATAACAAAGAATTCACTGGTGTGTTATGTTGCAGAGAAAAAGTAGTAAATCATCAACTTTACTTAAAATTCTTCTTATATAGATTTCTGGGAAAAGTATAAGAAGTTGAGTTTCTGGCCAGTTGCCAGTGGCTCACACTTATAATCCTAGCTACTTGAGAGGCTGAGCTCAGGAGGATCATGGTTTGAGGCCAGCCCAAGCAAGCAGTTCTTGAAACTCCCATCTTCAAAATCAGCAAAATGGACTAGAGGTATGGCTCAAACAGTAGAACACCTGCTTTGCAAGTACAAACCTCTGAGTTCAACTCCAGTCTCACAAAAAAAAAAAAAAAACAAACTTGAGTTTCTTCTTATTTTAGTTACCAGCAAAGCAAAGCACAAATGCACATTCATAGATACATTAGAATTCACAATTTACTCTTTTATACTAAGGAGTCAACAGAATTTCATGAGGCAATACGTTTAGTCAAGGTGTAAAGGCTATTTCAACCAACAAATAATTAACTTTAAAAATAGGAGAGGAGTCAAAGGACACCATGTAATTGTACTATGTGGCTTTTTTTTTCACTTAATATTTTGCTAGGACCATCTTCCCACATTACTACAAAAATATAATACATCTTTAATGATGACAATGAGCTTTTAATCTTAAAATTCATAAGAAGAAAAAAACCTTGCAAAAACAAAAAGACTGGGCTGGGATGTAGCTTAGTGGTAGAGTGCTAGAAGCCCAGGGGTTCTATCCCCAGCATATGAAAAAAAAAGACAAAAATTAAAAGAGTTGTAAAGGAGTGATAGGAACAACTGTATGCCAACAAATTAGATACAGATATCAGATAAAGATATAAACTTCTGAAACTGACTCAAAAAGAAAGGAAAATCTAAACAGACCTTTAACAAGTAAAGAGATTGAAAATTTCCTACAAAGAAAAGTAGAGGCATCAAAGGCTTAACTCATGAATTGCTATCAAATTTTCAAAACTAATTTAATTCTTCATAAATTCTACCAAACAGAACACCTTCTTAACTAATTTTATGAGGCCAATTAGCTTAATACCAAAGCCAAGCATAAGAAATTGCAGACTAATATTCCACACAAACACACACGCACGCGCGCACACACAGGCACAGAGTTGGCTCTTATTTTGTTTTGTTTTAGTGCTCTACAACTGAGCTATATACTTAACCTTCCTTTATAAATATCAATGCAAAAATCCAAGCAAAACAATAACACAGCAACATATAGAAAAGACTATCGCAGGGCACTGGTGGCTCATGCCTGTAACCCTAGCAACTCAGGAGGCAGAGATCCAAAGGATCACAGTTCAAAGCAGCCCGGGCAAGTAGTTCTGTAAGACCCTATCTCAAAAAAACCCTTCATAAAAACAGGGCTGGTGGAGTGGCTCAAGGTAAAGGCCCTGAGTTCAAGCCCCAGTACAGCAAAAAAAAAAAAAAAGAAGAAGAAGAAGAAAAAGGATTGTCACAGGAAGGCAAGATCAATTTAACCTCCAAAAGTCAATTAATATAATGCATTATAATAAAGGACAAAAATCATATGAATACCTCAATAGAAGCAGAAAAGACATTTAAGAAAACCCAACGCTGTTCATGAGTAAACCAAGTCAAACAAACAGCCCAAAACAAACAAACAAAAACCTACTAAACACAAACAAATAGAAAGGAACTTCCTTAAACTAGTAAAGAGAATCTACCAACCCCCCCCACAGTTAACATCATACTAAAGAGTGAAGATTAAATGCTTTCTCCCTAAGAACACAAGAATAGCCATATGTTGTATACACAGGCAGTTCTACCCATGGAAATTAGGCAAGCAAAATAAATAAAAGGCATCTGCAAAACTGAATAATAAGTAAAATGAATCTACTTGACAAGATCCTACAAGTCTAAGAAACACCCCCTCACACACAGACACAGACACAATTAGAAGTAAAAAATGAGTCTGGCAAGACTGCACAATAAAAAAAGTTAGTATTTGAAAAATCGGGGCTGGCAGAGTGGCTCAAGTGGTAGAGCACCCACCTAGGAAGTGTGAGGCCCTGAATTCAAACCCCAGTACCACCAAAGAATAAATAAAATCATAGTCTATACATTAGCAATGAATAATTAAAAATGAAATCAAGCAAATAATTCCCTTTACAAAAGCATCAATAAAATAAAATAATGAGGACTAAATTTAATGAAAGAAGGCAAAACTTACACGATGAAAACTAAAACATTGCTGGAAGAAATTAAAAATCTAAATGAATGAAAGAAATACCACAATCATCGAGTGCAAGATTTAATACTGTTAAAATGGCAATATTCCCCAAATTGATCTACAGATGAACACAATCCATATCATAACCTCAACCACCTTTTTGGAGAAATTGACAAGTTGCCCCCAAATTCACTTAGAAATGCTAGGATCCCAGAATAGACAAAACAATCTTGAAAAAGAAGAACAAAGTTAGAGGTCTTATACTTCCTGTGCCGGTACAAGGACAGACATATACATCAATGGAACAGAGTTGAGAATCCAAAAATATGCTCAACTGATCTTTTTTCTTTTTGGTAATACTGGGGGTTGAACTCAGGACCACATGCTTGCTAGACAGGCACTCTGATTCACACCCCAGTAACGACTTTAGTGAATTTGCTTTAGTGAATTTTGAGATAAGATGGTCTCACATTATACCTGGGTTAGCCTGGACCATGATCCTCCTATTTGTGCTTCCCAGTGTAGCTCAGTATGACAGGCACACACCATCGTACCCACCCATTGGTTGAGACGGGGTCTTGTGAACTTTTTGCCCAGGCTGTCTTCAAACTGAGATCCTCCAGATCTCTACTTCTTAAGTAGCTAGGATTACAGGCTTCAGTCACCACACCCAGCCTCAACTGATTTTTGATATGTGTGGCAAAACAATTTATGTACAAAGGATACTCTTTTCAACAAATAATGCTGTGACAACTAGGTATCCACAAAAGGATGAAGGTGGACCCCTCCCTCACATAAGAAAATTAATTTCAAAATAATCATAGATTTAAATGTAAAACCTAAGGCTACAAAACTTAGAAGAAAATACAGGGATCACCTTTTATTCACCATTTCATCTTCTGAGGTTTCAGTTACCTGTCCAAACATAGTACAAAAGTAGTAAAAAAAAATTCTCGAAATAAACAGTAAGTTTTAAACTCCTGCCACTCTTAATAGCATGCTGAAATCTTACACCCTTAGACTCCACTCGCCTGGGATATGAGCCACTGTTCTGTTCAGCACATCCATGTTGGTACTCTACCCACCTCCTGGTCACTTTGTAGCTATCTCAGATGCTTGACTGACTATGCCTGTATCACAGTGCTTGTACCCGAGCAACCCTTATTTTACTTAATGATGGCCTCAAAGCACATGAGTTGTGAGGCTGGAAAATACCATCTCACGACATATGAATACAGCATATAAGATATTTTGAGTGAGTGAGAAAGACTGACCATGTTCACATAATTTTATTACAGTATATACTATAATAATTCTTTTATCTGATAGTTATTGTTGTTAATCTCTTACTGTGCATAAGGTTTACATTAAACTTCATCATAAAAATATAGTATACATAGGGTTCAGTGCTTCCTGAAGTTTCTGGCATTCATGGGGTAGTGGAATGTCTCTCTTGTAGATAGGAGGAAACTACTGATACTGTATTCAAAGCATACAAAGAACACATACAATGCAACAATAAAACAACAAATAACCCAAGTTTAAAATGAATAAAAGCATGAATATACATTTCTTTAAAGAAGCTATACATGAATGGCCAAGAAGGACATGAAAAAGATGCTAAAAAAAAAATCCAGCAACCCTCCTACCAGTTATGTATCCAAAGAACATGAAATCAGACAGATATTTCAGACAGAGAGCAACACTCCTATGTTCTTGCAGCATTATTCACAATAAGTGTTATCAATGGATGAATAAAGAAAAATGTGTTATACATACCACAAATAAATAGTATTCCGCCTTAAGAAAGGAGGAAATATGGTCATGTGTGACAGTATAGATGAACCTTGAGACATTATATAAATGCCTATCAACTGATGAATAGAAAAACAAAATGTGGTATATTCATATATGGAGTACTATTCAGCCACAAAAGAGAATGAGGTACTGATTCATGCTACAATATGGATAGGCTATGAAAACATGCTAAGTTAAAAAAAAGTCACGAAAGACCACATGGAAAGATGCTCTGATATCATTCTATTTATATGAACTGTACAAAAGAGGCAATTTTATAGAAACAGAAAGGATATCAATGATTTCTAGGGGTTCAAGAGAAGTGGGAATCAGGGAGCTACTTGATATGGGGTCTCTTTTTAGGGTGATGAAAATATTCTAAAATTAGTTAGGGGTGATGGTTATGCAACTCTGTAAATATAACCAAATTATACACTTAAAAGCATATAGAGCAGTTATTTTTAAAATTATATGGAGTCATACCATCATTTTTTGTTATTCTCTAATATTAGAGTTCACAAATTATCACAAATACAAAAGCAGAAAATGTCAGGTATTTTTAAAAATTCAATATTAAACATTGTTAAGAAAATGGTAGCTATGAATAAGTCAAAGTCCTAGTAAAATGCCATACCTTGCCACACTGCTTGTAGGGAATTCCCTTTTGGTTACAGTACTCATAGATGAGGGCTGCACCTTGTACACATAATTTAGCTTTCAGAGATTCTGGTTTATAATAAATTCCACTATGTATGACACCACTGTTATGTCCAGTCTGGTGAACAGCTACAAAACAAGCAGAATGGGGTAAGAGAAAGTATGTGACTCGTACAAAACCTAAGAGGTGGGAGAACAATTATAGCTGGAGCTATTAGAGACCACATATTAGCAATCCTGCCTGAATTGTTCAGATTCAGGATAACTTCCTCTAGCGGCTGTCCCTGGTATCCATGCTACATCACTCCTGCCCATCTCCAATTTCAACTAAAACTTTGGTGTACAAACTCACCTCTCACTACCAAAAACCACTCCAAGAGCTCAGTGGGGCTCCCTGCCCTATGCCGAGGTCCTTTTTTATTTCTTAGGAAAAACTGGGGGCTATTAACAACATAAGGGCAATCCTCAGTCAAGAGCGACCAGAGCTGATGGATGAATAAGCACAATCCTGGAAACATTACAGTGTTCCTCAGAGCAGCCAGTAGAATCAAGTGCCCAGCAGCTTTCTGGACAATGGAGCCTCATGTGGCTTTTCCTCCTCTGTCTTACTCTCTCTCCCTCCCCTCACTCCTTTCTGCCCTCTCAAATGAATCACATAACATATATAAGTCCTTGTCCCAGAATTGACTTTCAGGAGAACCCAAAATAATAGGATTCAGGATGATTGATTCAGAGCTGACAAAATGAGCAGGTATCCAAGCAAGCCCAAAGAGCAATACTGGTAATAGATATACATACCTAAATCTTTTTCCTTTTCCAGAACAACAACTGAAAGTGCAGGATGCCGCCGGATGAGTGCTCTGGCAGAGGCAAGTCCCACAATTCCGCCACCAACGATGGCTACATCAAATGACCTTTAAGAGATAAAGCAACCTTTAAAGACATGAAGGTTTATAGTAGACTTCACCAAACTCCACTTGCACAACTCTCATCATCACTGGACAATTAAATGACTAATTTGTAATTTGAGCTTTGGGCTATTTGGCTTCACACTCAGAAAACAAACCTTTCAAAGTTACAGGCATTGTTGGCCAGTGGATTAAGCAGTGACAGCCTACTGACAGATAATATGGCTGCTGGGTTTCCCAAACTCTTCTGTTTCTGGGCCAGTAACATCAGTGATTGCTTTGTGCCAACTATCACATTTTCTCTACCAGATATCCTTTTAAAATTCAAACTTAGTATTCTTGTGTGTGTGTGTGTGTGTGTGTGTGTGTGTGTGTGTAACTGGGGTTTGAACTCAGGGCTTCATGCCTCATGCTTGCTAGGCAGGTACTCTGCCATTTGAGCCACTATGCCAGCCCTTCAAATGTAGTATTCTTGAGGACAGGCTAACAATTAAGCCTTTAACACTTTACTGTGCTAGATTTATACTTTTTCTGTTGAGAAGGAAATAGCAGTGAGAAAATCAAAACCTTAGGAAAATAAATGGTCTATAGTGCACTCAGAAAGACAGTCTTAGACATGAAATTGATTATAAAACTATTTAAAAATTATAAATGACATGTATAATTTATTTAACTGTGTGATGAGATTACCTTTAGCCCTGACCTCAGGGTCAACAAGTCTACATGACCTAAATGTTATATAGACACAGTAAAGTGCAGACAGGGTCCTTCTTCTGAAGAATGATCTAAATTTTAATTTCAAAATCTTCAGCAGAAGGATACCAATTTGATCACAAGTGTTACCATGTCTGTTACTACATCTGGAACCAGAAACAGCTAAGGACTAACATGATCTTGATAAATTCGATCCTGCATTTTAAGTTAATTTTGGGGTAAAGTTGCCTCCTTTAGTGAATAAGCCTTTTAACTTGGACGAGGAGCGCCTCCAGGTGGTTCTCACCTGTGGCACTTTTAGGTGTTTGGATTAAATGGTTACCAAGGAGTGTATGGGATGGCGAACAATGCCCACATTTAATGAGAGGGGATAAAAAACAGTCACACAAATAAACGAGGATTCTGGGTCAAATACATTAATAGTGATTTCTGGCAAGTGTTTGCAGGGGTCAACTGAAAAACCACTGTACAATTAGAGTGCACATGAAAGTGTACATTAAAGAGGTTTTAAAAATATAAATTTTACAAGATAAAAGAAAAAGCACTCACATTCCACTACTTACACTGATTTATAACCATTGTTCCTTATACAACTTTTACAATAACCAGATCTTTTATGAAATCTAAAACAGTTGACTTTTAAGAAATTCAGAATAGGATGAAGGAAGGAGATCCAAGTCACGATATATGGCAGATGGACTTCATATACCTATATGAAACAGAACTAAGAAATCTCTTGCAACTGCTTTAAGTGGGGTGGGGAGGGGGTTGAGGGGACAGATGATAGGGGCAATGTAAACAATGTACAATATAGGTCTAACTGGAATTGTCACTACAAATTCCTGCCTGTATAATGAATAGATTCTAATAAAACAAACAAAAAGAATTTCAGAATAACTATTGCTAAACAGGCTTCATATTTCCAAAACCTCCTCATCTTACACTAAGGTAGGTATATAAAACATTTACAAATACTTACAATATTATGTGTGTGACAATAATAGTTTATGTACTTTTTTCTATAACAAGGTGATATCTAAATTGACCAGTGAACTGCAAAAAGCCTACAATAACAGGACTGTGGTGCAGTTTAGTGGGACAGTGCTTGCCAGCATGAGGAAGGCCCCAAGCTTGATCCCAGCACCACACACTCCCCTTCCTTTTGTGGACTTGTTCTTGTAGAATGTACTTTTTCTGTGTGTATGTACATGTGCATACATGTGTAAGAGAGAAAGAGAGAACTTTCATGCTTTTTTTTCCTTTCAAGTTCAGCTGTGATGCTTTGCTTAGCCTTCAAGCCTCATCTTCTATAAAACATAGCTAACCCTAACCCTTTGCAGACGTGGTCTTGATTTCTACAGTGTTTCTCATCTTTGCTGCTTTGATCAAATTAACATGAAATCTTTTGTCGAGGCAGACCTCTACTCAGAGTGGCTTGTTAAAATATAACCTTCCTGTCAAAAACAAGAGCTAGTTGGCTTTTGTTTTTACAGCTATTACAACCATCAATGAACTATTTACTTTCAAACATAAAACTATCATATTGAGCATGCCACTCTTCCTTCCTCCTCTTAAACCTGAAGAATCCCTGTCCAATACATGAATCACTGAAATACGCTTCAAGAGCTAAAGCACAAACCTCCAAGCATCCGGCAAGGGGAAAGAGCCCAAAATATCACAGATGAACACTGCAGTACATTTGCAGAACAAGATAATAATGAAGGCTGACGATGGTGTCTTTCTCCACAACTCAACCTCAAGCCAAAACCAAAGGGCAGTTTAAAAGATATCATGATTTTTTTGCGGTACTAGGATTGAACTTCGGGCCTCACACTTGTTAGGCAGGCACTCTACACTTGAGTCACTCCACCAGGCCTTTTTTGTGCTGGGTATTTTTGAGATAGGGTCTCACAAACTGTTCTCCAGGGCTGACTTCAAACTGCAATCCTACTGATCTCTGCCTCCTGAGTAGCTAGGATTACAGGAGTGAGCCACCAGTGCCTGACAACAGATAGCTTTTTAAAGCTTTCTTGTATAGAAAAGTTATACTATAATGAACTCCTGCATACACAGCACCCAGCTTCAATAATCATTGACTCATGGAAAGTCTTCCTGGTCTATATCCCATCTATTTCACCCCTTCATGTAATAGACTTGATGTAAATCCTAAACATCACATTATTTTCATCTGTTTATATTTAAATGTTATTACTAATATCCTCTTTTAAAACATATTCTATCATTATTTTAACTAAACAATTAATAATTTTTTATTTTTATTTTATATAATCAAACATTCACTATAAATTTTTCAGATGAAAATAGAACAAAATCTTTGGAATCTAGAATTAACACCAAAAGCATGATTTAGAAAGAAAAAGTTTTGATAAGCTGCACTTCATCAAAGTTTAAAACTTTAGTTCTGCAAAAGTAAGAGGATGAAAAGACAGACTAGGAAAAAATACTGCAACTATATATCTGACAGAGAGCTCACACTCAGAATATGTAAAGAACTCTCAAAACACATAAGCTATTTAAAGTGATGGGCAAAAATATGAACAAACATTCCATCAAAGGAAAGATATAGATATGGCAAATCAGCACATGAAAAGATGATCAACACCATTAGTCACTGCACTGTACAAACAGAATTACATTAGGAAATGCAAATTAAAACCACAAAGAGATATCACCACACCTCATTCAGAATGGCTAAAACAAAACCAAAAAGGGGATAATACCACATGCTGGTGAGGAGGAAAAGTTTGGATTACTTTCTTGCTGGTAGGAATGTACAATAGTACAGCCACTGTGGAAAAGAGTATGGCAGTTTCTTAAAAGACTAAACATGTGGACTGGAGGGAGGTGTGGATCAAGCAGAAGAGTGACTGCTTGCAAAGCACAAAGTCCTGAGTTCAAACCCCAGTTCCACCAAAAAAAAAAAAAAAAAAAAAGACTAAACATGCCATTCAGTAATTGCACTCTTGGGTATTTATTCCACAGAAATTAAAACTGAGTTCCATTAAAAAAAAAAAAACAAAAACCTGTACTCAATATTCGTAGCAGTTCCATTCACAACAGTTAAAAATTGGAAAGAGACAAGATGTCCTTTAACTGGTGAATGGTTAAACAAACTGTGAATGCTATTCAACAGTGAAAAACAGTGAAACCTACCATACAATGTTTGAAAAGGAGGCGGGGGGAGGAAAAGAGAGGGAATAGAAATGGAGTGGGTGAACTTGTTTAAATACACTGTATGCATGTATGGAATTATCACAATGAAATCCCCTCATACTGTTAATGTGTGCTAATTCAAAAATACAATTTGCTTAAAAAGATGGATGCAAGCAAAAAATAAACAAATGAAAACAATGAAAAACCCCACTATTAATACTGGCAACACTATGGGTGGATTTCAAGGACACTATACCGTGTGGAAAAAAAAAAACCTCATAAGGGTTACATACTGTATTCCATTTATACAACATTCTCAAAATGATAAACTGATACTAACAGAGACCAGATTAGTGGTTGCCAAGGGTTGGAAGGGTGGAGAGGTAGGCTGTGAATATTAAGGGACAGGTAACACAAGGGACATCTTTCGGCAATGGAACATTTCTGTATCTTAATTGAGAGTGGTTACATAAATTAACACATATTATTAAATTGCATAGCACTACACACACATACACATATATGCACACACAAACGAATACATGTAAAAACTGATAAAATCTAAGCAAGGTCTGTGCATTGTGCCATCAACTTTCTGGCTTTAATATTGTTACAGTTCTATAAGACGCTATCACTGGGGGAAAGAGAAGAGGTGAAGGCTATGTGAAACCTCTCTGTATAATTTTTGCAACTTCCTTCAGATCTACAACTATTTCAAAATAAAAAGTATAAAGAAAACTTTTTCTAACTCACCTTTTAAATAGATTCTGATGGCTCTTGAAAATTCAATGGGTAGTTAAAATTAAAACCCTGCTGGGACATAGCCCCTCTCTCTGGTGTCATTCCACACCTTTGGTCTTCCGCTAAATCACACTCATATTGCCCACTTTCTAGTCTTCAAAATAACCCAAAGTTATTAGTGCTTTGGCAGAAACCGTTTATTCCACAAGAGAGGAGAGAAAGGCAATGGTTTCTACTGTGACTCCAAATTACAGGATATCCAATTTTGCAGGTTTTGATAAGCAACTGGCCGACTTAAGACAGGTTCAGAACATTGCAAGCAGCAGCAGGGGTGCTTACAGAATACCAGGTCCTCTTACCTTCAGGAGGACCACCTGACAGAGAGTCTTAAGATCCTATTAAGCCTTTCTCGGAAGGTTAAGCAACCCGCCCATATTTGAACGGTGCGTGGAGGGGTGTATTTAAAGACAGACTCCCTCCTGACCGCTACTCTACTCTGTCGTTCGTCCGGCCATAATACTAGGAATGAACCCTGCAGGCTGGGAGCTCCTGGGATCTGAGGCTGGGGCTCCACCGAATCCCGACCTTCTCCCAAGGCCGGGATGGGAGCGCAGGTCCAGGACTAGGTTCCTCTGACAGACCAAGCAGCGCGGGCGTCGGGGGCGGGCCACGGGCCACTCACCTGGTGCTGGCGCTGCGGCCACCCCCGCCCAGCGTCCAGGGCCTGCTCAACGCTGGCCCGCACGCCCCGGGGAAGCACCCAAGGGCACGTCTGCAGGCACCACCGAGGTAACGCAACACCGCCACCATCGCCTGCCTCCCTTCCCCTCCTTCCAACCCCGAGGCAGCCGCAGCCCTCTAGCCCCGCCCCCACAGAGGAGCCAATCAGGTGTGCTCCTTCACCTCACGTGGGAGCAGCCGCTGGTGACCAATGGGCGTGCGCGGTGAAGGGCGAAGGGCAGGGCGAAGCGCCGTAGACGCAGGGACGCTCCCTCGCTCCCTCCCTCCCTGCGACGCTGTGAGTAGAGGCGCTAGGCCCGCTCGGGCGGGACTAGGGTGGTGGTTACGTTCTGCCCTTTCCCCTCTTCCCACGCTGGGCCGACTGGAAACTTGGCCCCGTCAAGCCAGCTGTCTTGCGCTTTCGCCACTGAGCGGACTGGGGGCCGCAGCAGAAAGTCTGTGCGTAATTATGGTGAAAACCTTGTTCGGGCGGCCGGCCAGCCAGCTGTCTTCCTTTCCGCTGGCCCCGCCCTCTCGGCCCCGCCCCTTGCGTTGCCGGTCACCTGGCAGCCGCCGAGACGCTACGCTAGCGCTCTGTGCCCGATCTAGCCTCGGAGGCTCTTTGTCACGGGCTTCTGGACTTGTTATGGAGCTCCTAGTGGTGTCATTCAGTTGTTGCTTCGTCTTGTAAATGTCGAGCTCCTACTCTGCTGGACAGGGCAGTGGATACTGGATGAACCAGACAGAACAATCTGTCATCTTTGAGCATTCTATGCCCGACCGCCCTTCCTGCCTTTCTCTTCTCTCTCTGTCCCCAACCCCCGGCCTTTTTCTCTCTTTCTCCCTCTCTCCCCCTCCCTCGGCTGTACCAGGGTTCGAACCACTCTCTCCCACCCCCAGCCCTTTATGCTTTAGTTTAGTTTTTTTTTTTTTTAAGTCTCCAGTTTTTTGCCAGGACAGGTCTGGAACCCTGAGCCTCCTACGCCTCCTACATAGCTGAGACAAAGGTGGCACCACCATGCTTGGCTTATTGATTCAGATGGTGTTTCACAACCTTCCCCCAACCCTTTCGGGCTGGCCTTGAACAGCCTTCCAGGTAACTGGGATTAGAAACATGTGCCATCACAACCAACCCTACACCCTTTTCTTAAATACTGGGACAGAATTACAGTTTTAAGTATTTTCTCCAGGTCTCAGAACAGTGACTTACCTGTACAAGTCACTTTATCCATGTTTCCTTTTTCTGTAAAATGAGGCAATATGCTATGTAATCTCTAAAGGACCTTCTAAGTGTAAAATTACCAGACTTTCTGCCATTGTGCCAGTGTAATACCCATTCTCACTCCTTGGTGGCAGTCTTTAATTTTTAGAGTCAGGATAGTTAAACAAAACTAAAATAGAATGATGCAGCTTTATTGCTGGAAGGACTTCACTTGCCCATTTGAATCTTGGTTCCAGTCTTTAAACAGGTGGCTCAGAGAAATCATTTCACCTCTCTGCCTCCAACCCTCTTCTGTAGACTAGGCCCAGTGAGCAGATTATATGAGAAAAGGCTCATCACGAGTTCAGCAGGAAAGCATTAGGTAAGTGACAGATTTTTTAGACTTAAATGGTTTTATCATTTAAAAAAAAATAGTCTGTATTTTGCTATATGTGGAAAAAAGTAGAATGTTGGCTGCTTGTTTCATCACAAATGAAAAATACTTTTTTAAGTTCAGTCATTTATTTTGAGATAACTATAGAGATCCTGTATATTTTTTGCCCATCCCCTGCCATGAAAACATCTTGTAAAGGTATAGTACAAGATCCCAGCCAGGCAATTGACATGATCACAAAGTCAGATAGTCCCAATATTACATTTCTCTGTGTATAGTTCTACAAATCATCACGCGTGTGTATTCTTGTATCCTCCGCCACAGTCAAGGTACAGTGACATCACCACCAGGATTTCCTCCAGAATCCTGGTTTTAAAACTACCCCTTCACCTTGTAGCCTCCTACCAATCTTATCTTCCTTTCTAAAAATTTGTCTTTTTAAGAATGTTTTATAAGTATAACTATATAGTATGTAACTTCTAGGGATTAGCTTTTTGATTAATATAATCCCGTGAGATACATTCCAATTGCTGCATGTTTCAGTATTTCGTTCCTTTTATTGCATTCCATAGTATATATTATCCCCGTATTTTAACCATTTACTCATTGAAAGACATCTGAGGCCAGGCATGTGGTGCACACCCGTAATTGCAGCTACAAAGGAGGTGGAGATCCAGAAGATGGCAGTTTGATGTCAGCCCTGGCAAAAAGTTAGCAAAACCCCATTTCAACAAACAAGTCACATTGGAGGTTTGAGCTCTGGGGGAAATGCAAGACACTTATCTGAAAGATAACTAAAGCAAAAAGGGCTAGAGGCATGACTCGAGTGATAGAGTGCCTGCCTAGTAAGCATGTGGCCTTGGATTCAAATGCCAATACCACTAAAAAAAAAAAATCACCAACTGTTTTCCAAAGTAGCTGTACCATTTTATATTTCCACCAGCAATGTTTGTCACCAGTATTAGGTGTTACTGTGTTTTTAATTTTAGCCCTTCTGATAGGTATGTAGCGGAGATGGTTATTATTTACTTTGCACAGGATGTAGTTGATACTGTACTCCCAGGGGGCTGTCATATACTTTGTAGCCCAGCTGTGCCTGTAATCATAATTGGCTTTGTTTTTTAGCCACTATATGATTTTGAGCATGTGCTTCATAGTTTAGCAAGGGTGAAAGAATTGAGAACAATACGCCTTTTTTTTTAATGAAATACTCTCTGCTTGCCTCTCTCCCTCACACCCAAAGTTTTATACAGTAGTTTTTTTTTTTTTTCGGTTAAGTAATTTCAAATGAAGAGCTTACTTTGCATTCATGCACCCTATAATGTCTGTGGGTAGAAACATTTATATTTGTGACACTGCCCTCTTCAGATGAGAATTCACGTTCACCTTTTATCTAGGCCATAACCTATGATAAATTGGTTTGGCATTTAATGGCTTAGCATGGCTTTTGGGGCCTTTGATTCTAATTCCTAATGAATTGCTCTCTTGATCTGTTTCACTTGATTCTACACCTCAAGAATAAAAACTTTGAAGCTGGGTGTGGTGATGCATGCCTGTAATTCCAGGTACTCAGGAAGTGGAGGTAGGAAGATTGCAGTTCAAGGCCAACCCCAGCAAAAGTTAGGGAGACCTATCTGAAAAAACTAAAAAAGCAAAAGGCCTGGGGGCGTGGCTCAAGTGGTAGAGAGAGGACCTGAGTTCAATCAAGAACTGGAATCGACAATGTATTATTTACAGTGGGTTATATATTTACATAGGGTTATAATTAGGGAGGCAAAAAAACCATTCTGAGCCCCCCCCATCCCTCTCCACACTTTACCCTAGTTCAGTCTTTTTTTTTAAGTTTTAGCAAGGATTTATTATAGTAGGATAAAGTAGGAAGAAATTGCTGGGGGAGGAGACTATTTCCTGCTCCCATGCAGGAAATGGGACTAAGACTCTAGTTCAGTCTTTGGGCCACCAAATCAGCCGTCACTTTGAATAACCCACTCAGCAATTGCATTTCATATGTAAAATATCGCCTTTCACTTTAAATACTGGGCTTAAACTCAGGGCCTTATGCTTGCTTGACAATGCTCTACCACTTGAACTATAATCCCTACCCCAAAATTTTACCGTTTTTATGCAAATAGAAAAACTCAGGCCCAGAATGCCCTTTGTTTGTATCCTAATTTTAATGACACATTAGAGGGCTGGCCTCTAAGGTACAAACATAATTGCAGATTTTAGAAATCCTGTTACAAATTTATGGCTCTAAGCCATGCTCTGATAGTAAGAAGTTTTGTTTTTTTTTTTATAATTTGAATTCCTGGATTATTTATGGCACCAAGTAATTTACTAGTTTTAATTTTAATAATAATAATAACTAGTAATAATAAAATAATAAATAATAGGTAGTAATTTACTAGTTTTAATTTACTAATTTCCTAACTTGCATTTTAATTGTTTTAATTTATTGTAGCCAAATGTACTAACTCACCACTAGAGGTCTCCTCTTGCCCTTTAGAAAGCACTCCCTGGGTAACTGCTTGGAATAATCCAAATCTCAACAAAGTTCCAGTCAAGAATGTAAAACTCGCCATTTGGTTTTTTTTGTTGTTGTTGTTGTTTTTTAACTTTATTGCCAAATACAAATTTAATTTTCACAGTAAATTATTTTAAAATCATAGCTGAAGTAAATTTGGCCTTTCCTTTAAGCTGAATTATAAAGTGGCCAAAATGAATCAAGTATTCACTTTTCAAAGATCATGCTACTTTGCCTGCCTAATAACAGTATAGCAGTCATTCAGTAAACACTGAAGCATGAACAAGCGGATGGACATGGCACTTAAGTAAAGTCTTGAGTTTGGGTACAATTTTCCACAGACAGAATTGGGGATACCTGGGTAGAAGTTGGGAAAGCCCAGATTTGTAAAGAGATTGGCAAACAAGGGAGTTATTAGAGATGGGCATAGATGGAGAAACTAGCAAAAAGCTTGAAAGGTTTGAGAATGTGACAGGAGGTAATCGAGAGGATTTCCGTAAAGAAGACATGAATGTTGTTACGAAAGATGAAAACCAAGAGGAGAACTGAGGGTATAGCTAAAGTAGAGGACTTGCCTAGCATGTGTACTGCTCTAGATTCAATCCCCAGCACAGAAGGAAAAAAAAAAGGAAGGCAGGAAAGAAAGGAGATGAAGAAGCAGTTAAGTGGTCCCAGGGTCCTGTCCTTAGCCTCTCACTACCTCCACATCTCCAGTCATTTCCTCAGCTCAGAATGGTTCACACTCAGGCATCTTCCTAGTCTCCTTTCTCTTGAGTTCTACAACCATCCAGTGATTGAGAAAAGTACCCTAGACTGGTAGGAGAGAAAACTGGGTTCAAGTTTCAGCACTGATACCAATTAATGATGAAACATTGAGTAAGTCCTTTGAAACATGCATTTATTAATGCCCCACCTTGTTCCAGAAAGGATTGAGGGTGTCAGCAAGTTACTTAATATAAAGGCTTCAGTTTCCTCATCTCTAAATGAGAGGTTTGGTCTAGGCAATCCAAGTTCCTTCTAGCTCTTAATGCTTTGTGACTCTGATTCTAATCATTTGTTGGTCATTTCCTCTTAGAAGTTCTGCAAACACATCATATCTTAAAAGAAACTCAGCCTATAAAATCCTGTCCTGATGTCGATTTCTTTTTTTCTTTTTTTTGTTGGGACTGGGTTTGAATTCAGAGCTTTATGCTTGCAAAGCATGTATCCTGCTGCTTGTGCCACACCTCCAGTTCATTTTTGCTTTGCTTTGTTATTTTGGACATGTAGGGTCTTGTGAACTATTTGCCTAGGTTGGCCTCGAACCATGATCCTCACAATCTCAGCCTCCCCAGTAGCTAGGATTACAGGCATGGGCCACCAGTACCCAGCCTGATGTTGATTCTTGATGATACTGCCATTCTACCAATGACACAGCACCAAAACTTAGTACCATCTTCAACTCTTCTGTCCTTTCCCTACAACTCACTGAGATGAAACTTGACTCTGTAATGTCATCCCTTTCCTTTTCTGACTAGGTCCTTTCCTGTGGTGGTGGTTGAAGCCCTTGTTGGCTGTTCTGCACCATTCTGTTGACTTATTTTTTGAGACTGCCTCAACGACGTTGCCTGCGATAGCCTTGAATTCCTGGGCTCAAGTGATCCTCCTGCCTCAGTCTCTGGAGTGGCTGGTACTGTAGGCCCATGCCACCATGCCTGGCTTGACTCAATCTGGATGCTCTGTCTGAGTAAATTTCCTGAAACAGCTCTAACAATGCCTGAGTGACTTCAACCTGCAGAATATATTCCAAATTCCCTGGCTAAGCACGCAAAACCCTTTATGACCTGGCAGTACAAATTATCCACCTCTTCTCTTTATGACCCCCATGTGCTAACCAGACTGATCAACACCCACCTTAAGTGTTCTGCCTCACTAACCTGACAACTTTGTTGAAATCCTCTCTGTCCTTATTTTAACTTTTGTCAGCCATTTATCAGGGTCCTGTCATTTATTTTTAAGTATTTGGTACTTGCCTTAGGCTACTACATGTCCATTAAGTTGTCAGTTCCTCATTTATCATTGTTTCCCCACACTAACCTAGCATCAGAGAAATTTGAATTAAATCAGATTAAGACCTAGTCAAAAAAAAAAAAAAAAAAAACTTTTCTCAACTTGTAGTTATAGACTTACAGCTAGAAATCATTTGTGTAAACCATCTCCTTTTACAAATGAGAAAGGCCAGGGTCAGAGAGGTGGATTTGCTTGTCATTGTTTCCCAATTGCCCCTCCACAGTTCTCTGTGCTGCTCTGGTGATCCCACTTGTAGCTTTATCGTAAGTAGCCATATTTTCATGTCTTCTGTTCCTTCCGCTACATAAATATCTTAACCTCATCACATTGCTTCCTGGGTGACTGTAGTTTGCCATGTTGATACTGGAATATTGGCAGGGGAGCTGATTCGAGCAAATTTGTAGTTACATTGCCTCAGTGCACACCAGGTGGCAACACTGCAGACACACCAGTGAAGTTTGCACAATGGAATTTAATGCTGGAAGGAATCTTAGTCATCATCCAGTCCCACCTATCATTTTTTTTTTGCAATAAAAAAGCAAAAACCCAAGAACCAGAGTCAAGTGACTTACTCAATAATTGCTGAGTAGCAAATGAATCGTTAGCTTTATTGGCATATAATATTGGCTCTGAAGTTGTGAAGTAAGTTAGTAGACACATGGGACTCTTTGCCAGCTGATGATCTAATGTGAGTACTGTTTTGTGTGTCCAGATCAAATGATGTTGTTTGGAAAAATTTCCCAGCAGTTGTGTGGCTTAAAGAAACTCCCATGGTCATGTGACTCCAGGTTCTTCTGGGGATGGCTGAATGCAGTGTTCAATAAGTAAGTGTCTAACTAAAATGAAGAATGTGGGGATGGTTACAGCTAAGAGCCCCCAATCACTAGGTGGTTATTTCTTGTATTTCAAATTTTTTTTTAATTTGAACAATGTGCGCAGTATGCTCCTAATTTTCTTTATAAGCAAATGTACACACAAACATGGAAAAAGACCAAAAGAATACATTACAAAATGTTAACCAGTTGTTTGAGTTGCAGGATCTTAGTGATTTTTCTTATTTGTATTTTTGATGCCTTTTAAGTTATCTAAAATGTGTATTTTATATTCAAATAAACTTAGTAAATATAATTGTTAAGTATTTTGTTCTGTGTCTTCTGAAGGAATGTTGTTATTGTAAGCTTTTTGAATACTATCAAGGGAAATCAGGTTTTTAAAAAATGAATGGGTGTCATACTTAGAAATATCATTTTGAGACTGATACATCCTTATTGCTTAATATAGCATTATGATTGCTAACTAGAGAAAAGGCATATGTAGAAGTTAATAAGTATCACAAGGAGATTAATTTGAAATGGATTCATTAATAAAAATGGTAGCCAGGTGCCAGTGGCTCATGCCTGTAACCCTAGTTACTCAGGAAACAGAGATCAGGAAGATCGTGGTTCAAAGCCAACCCAGGGAAAATAGTTCACGAGACCCTATCTAGAACAAACCCATCACAAAAAATAGCTGGTGGAGTGGCTGAAGGTATAGACCCTGACTTCAAGCCCCAGTACAGCAAAAAAAAAAAAAGGTAGCTGAGTATAGTCATTCATTCAATACACAGTGATCAGGTATTCAGGTATGTCTGGGGTCAAGCACTATGCTTCGTATGAATCACCAAAGACCCCTGTCTGCCTGATAAGCTTATATAAAAATACTGTGCCTCAGGACTAGGCATGTAACTCAGTGGTAAAGTACTGGACTAGCATGTGTGAACACCCACATTTGAGCCCCAGGACCACAAAACTTAAACAATAGAAATAGGGCTGGGGGTGTATCTCAGTGGTAGAGTATTTGCCTAGCATGCATAAGGCTCTGAATTCAATTCCCAACATTGGGAAAAAAATAATTCCATTATGTCAGGTATGGCACAAGCCTAATATCCTAGCATGCAAGAGGCAGAGGCAGGAGGATCCCAAGTTCCAAGCCAGCTTGGGCTGCAGTAATAATAATAATAATAATATGCTAAGCTATGACAAGAGTTTTCTTGGAGACAAAAACTATAGCAAAAAAGCAGGTAGAGCTAGTTATTTTTATTTTCATGGTTCTCATTAATATACTTATCTTCCTCCTTAAGTCATTTGAAGTGAAAATTTTTTGCTGATTATATTTCTGTTAATGATACAGCTAAGAAGCTAGTGATTATATAAAAGCAAACTGTTCCTGTTCTTTTGCCAATAGAGTGGATTATGAACGCATCAGGGATGTTGGCCCTGACAGGGCAGCATCTGAGTGGCTGCTGCGCTGTGGGGCCACAGTGCGCTACCAAGGCCAGGAGAGGTGGCAGAAGGATTACAACAACCTCCCAACAGGCTCTCTGGACAAATATAAGATTCAAGCAATCGATGCCACCGACTCTTGTATCATGAACATTGGATTTGACTACATGGGTAACTACACTATCATTGCTTATAGGAAACGCAGGTGATTTGCAGTGACCATTTCATTGAAATTTACTCACTATAATAGTCATCAGCATGTCCCTTTTGCCTGTTTCAGTACAGTCAAGTTTGCTTCTTCCTGGGTTTGGTATTTTCAAAGTAAGTGGAGGTTGCAAACACCTTTCTCCCCCACTAATCTTGTTTTTGTGCTCTTTTGTTGACTTAAAATTCAAATCCTGTTTTGTTTGTTCAGCTATGTTTGTCAAAATTCTGTCATTGCAAAACTCTCAATAACATAAGACTAATTGTATCCATATAACTTCTGCTCAAATAGGCATTTCTTCCCTCTGGTGCATGGGCATCTGTGATGATGGCCCTGTTCATCACAACCTGTGTAGTGAATAGTTTGTATTGTTAATAGAAAGAGCAGTCATCTGGTTTTCATAGGATTGCAGTCCTAAAGCCAGGAAATGTTGGGCAAACCAAGACAGTGATCTTAATGTAAATCAGATTAAAATGCATGTTTTTCCCCCCCAGAGGGCTTACAGCATGTTGAAAAAATAAGGCTGTGCAAGTGTCATTATATTGAAGATGAATGTTTGCAGAGGCTTAGTCAACTTGAAAATTTACAAAACAGCCTATTGGAAATGGAAATAATTACCTGTGGGAACATCACAGACAACGGCATCATTGCTTTGCATCATTTAAGGTAGGTGATCAAAGCCAAAATAAAGACTTGATAAAGTGAATAATCAGAATTTAAAACAGTTGAAGGATGATGTCTTTTTCTAGTTCTAAAAAATGTACTTTAAGAATATGAGGTGTGGTGACCCCACCTGTAATCCCAACTACTCAGAAACTAGAGATAGGGTTATGGTTCTAGGGCAGCCCAGACAAAAATGTTAGTGAGACCCTATGTCAGTAACAGGCCGGATGCTGGGGGCATGGCTTAAAGTAGAGCACTTGTCTTGCATGTCCTGAGTTCAAACCCCAATATTGCCAAACAAACACGCTGGGCATGGTGGCACACACCTGTAATCCCAGCTACTTGGGAGGTAGAGGTAGGATTGTGGTTCAAGGCTGGCTCTGGGCAAAAGTGGGAAACTCATCTTTTAAACCCATTTTCCCCATGTTTTTGGTATCCTAATGACATTCAGCATATACCAATTAGCATCTAATTCTGTAATTAAATTGTTGAAATTGTTACCTGTCTCTAGAACACTGCCTGACACTTATAGATACATATACATATGTGTGTGTGTGTGTGTGTGTGTATTATAATTTCAAAAGTATCCATCCGTTGGTTTAAGAAAGCTGTTCTGCATTCCCTTTTACCACAATCCAGATAGACCTATGCCATGGCCTGGAGTAAGTAAGTCACCCAGTCCCAAATGCAGAAACAGATAAACTAGCAAGGAATGTTTAATTCTAAGATTGCAGGGAGGCTGGGAAGGTTGCTCAGTGATATAGCACTTGCCTAGCATGTGTGGGGCTCTTGACTCAATCCCCAGCACTGGGGGGTGGGGGGGCAGCAGGGAGGAGGAACAGGATTCTGAGTCTATCAGAATGTTAAAAAAAAAAGTATGTTTAATCAAATCCCTATTTCAGAGATCCTGTCATTCAGATTCTGAATCAAGTAATATAGTTCTGTCTTAATATGTAATAGATCTGCCAGTAACCTCAGTATCACAGGAATTTGAAAAGTTTAAAACAATTAAACCAAAAGTACTATTTTTCAGCTCTTACATTAATTGAATCTTCTTCAAAGCTTCCTATTCTAATAGAAACCTCAGTATCTTTAAGAACATTCCAGTGTTTTTCTATTTTGGGGTTAAGATTCATATTTCACATGCAAAGGAGATCTATGCCATTATACATACATATAAATTATATATATACAAATTATATATAATTTATGTATATACATATAAATTATATATATAATTTAGGAAGAGTCAGCTAGAAATACTGATGAAATTAAGAATAAGTATAATTTCTGCAGTTTGGCTTAGTATCTAGCATGAGTTTCATTTAAAGTAGTACTCTTAAGACTAGTGCTCTGAAAGTCAATTTTGAAAATGTAGGGTGATATAAATCCATTCTGCATGTAATTTTTCATGAAAGTCAATAGATTGAGTTTATTTTTAAAGCTGTAAAATGTCAAATGGAAGTGACTTTTTCCTTTCTCTGTTTGCAGAAACCTCAGGTATTTGTTGTTACGTGATCTTCCTGGAGTAAAAGAAAAAGAGAACCTTGTCAAAGTCTTTAAGACAGCACTGCCATCTATGGAACTCGAATTACAGTTAAAGTAAAATAATAATTATCAGTGTGTCTTATTTCACTATAAAGGACCATTTGAAATTGTTGATCTGAAGTAGCAACAAATATTCTCTACTCACCAATAGAATTGTAAAGATGTAATATAATATTTTAGAATTGGACAGTCTACCATATTTAGAAAATATTGACACATGACTCAGTAAAGTTACTGAGTTGGAAGTGAGAAAATATGTACATTAAATCATTTTAAGAAAAATGCAAAATAAGCATTTTAATTCTAATGTATTTAATAAATATACAGTATATATAAAATACTGTATAAATATATATGCAGTATATGTAGTAGCTATCTCTTGATATAGTGATTTAGGTTTTTAAAGTCATTTAGCTGTGTAACACAGATATTTATTACAATAGTTTATATTTTAACTTTACAGTTATTTAAGCATGATACTATAAATGCACAATCATGAAAAATTGGAAGCTCAATTATCGATGGAGTCAGTAATGAAAAGGAGGCAGTGGTTGTTGAGGCCTTCAACTCATCCTGCTTCCCACGCTTTGCATGTACTGGTCATAATCCTGCACTCCTGTGTTCTTGGTAGGATAAGCCCTCTTTTTTTTCTTTTTTTTAAAGTGTATACCTTTTCTCAGAATAAATAATTGCTGGTTGTCTGTGTTATGATCTTGTTTTACTAAAATTGGACATAGATAATTAGCTGAATACAAGTAGCTTTGCTGGCTACCGCAGGACAAAAGAAACAGTCATAAAAAACAAGCTACACTCATTTTTTTTTCATCAATTAAGATATTTCTTCAAACAGAAAATTTTAATGTGTCAAGTAGGAACTAATTTTTTTCCCTTGAATATCTTGGGTACTACCTCCTTCCTGTGAACTCAAGGGACATCAAAAAGAAGTATAAACACAAAGTGAATTTTTATCTAGAAAACAGTAATAAAAAAATGCCTATTTTTACCTATTTGAAGTAGCTCTGAAATCTGTTATTGTTAGTGATTATATGCTGACTTGTTTGTGAATTTCTGTGTGTTTGGTTTGAACATTAAGCTATTGAATATAAACTTGACTGGAAATAATTTTAAAATAAATATTTTCTATGATACAACTTTCAGGCAGAAAAATCAATTTTAGCTATATTTAGAACTAAGCTTATAGGAAAATATTCATCCATTGTTCATGGGAAAAATGTAAGTAGTTTATAGCTAAATGATACACTATTTATTAATACAATTACCTCTGTCATTTACAAATCAGAAAATAGTAAATCGATAATAAAGACAAGGATACAGAATAGTCTCGTGATACAGTGGTGATTCCATGCTGAAGAAAAGGATTAAACAAATGGTTAAATTGAGAACAAGCATAAATTTAACAGGATTCATTAGAGAAAAAAATGGATTTTTTTCCTCAGGTTTATTTTGTTAATTGTGTGGGGAGACAACTGATTCACCGTGATTTGGTCCCAAACTACTTTTGTATTCTGAATGGTTTTCTGTAAAATTACTGGATGAATTAGCAGTTATAGTCATCTGCCTCGGTCAAATACATTTTCTTGAGTTACAGACAAAAAGACAATTTTAACTATTCACAGAAGTTGAATGTCCTTCCTTGTCATTTAAATCAAAGCTGAATAACAGGAATTTAATAATACTGGAACTGTAATTTAATCCACTATTAGGACTATGCAAGAAACTACATACATTAAAAGGCCTTAAAATATTAAACTGGTTGGGGTAGCCGAAAGTCTTGGAACAGATGACAGAAATTAGTGGATTACTTAGCAGTAAATGAATGGGGCCATGTACTGTCATGAAAAAAACTAACAAGAAGAAAACAAGAACGCAGAAGGAATGTTTTGAAGATACAGTAAAATATAACTTTGAAAATCATGGCTGAGAACTTCTGGGAAATAGCATAGCACATCAAGCCGAAATGGTGTTGAGTTATAAGAAACAGACATGGACTTTATATTGCCCTGTGTCTAGGGGACAAGGAACAAAAAGTAGTAAGCCAAATCAAAGCTAATTATATGTCATTTAAGTCTCACAGAGCTAGAAATCCTCAATGTAATTCTGAATGTCTTAGTTGTTGGGACAGTATACATACATACATACAAAAGTGTGTGTGCATGTGTGTGTAGACAGACATGTATTACATATGTACTATAAAAACATGCTTCAGGAAGAGCATCAGTTAATAGTACAGCATCTTTCATTGACACAAGTACAAGTTCACAAGCAGTTCCTACTAAAATCCAGATCACCATTTGTAGTTCTACAAGGTTGAGACTGAGCTGGAGAAAATGAATTAGAAAATACTAATTATTTTCAGGCTAACAGGTGAAAGCCTGTGAAGCCTGTAGGTCTTACTCTATCTCTTGACCACTTTGATCAGGCTTCTAAGCTTCAAGCCATTGTTGCAAGAGGAATTGGATTAACAGGTGTAGATAAATTGACACTAAATTCATCTTGCCTGTGAAAATGACTAAGATGCATCCTGTACTTAAGGTACACACAAAAGTATAAGTAATGTGTAAACATATGCATAAAAGTATAAAGTATAATAATCCATATGATTTTAGATATGTTGAAAAAGATATTCCAAAAGATGTTTTAAAATTAAAAAATTCAAGAGAGCAAATGGGAAACAGAATTTTAACATTTTGATTTCAAGAACTAAATTTATCCTTAAATATGACATTGGAATAATCTGAAATATTATAGACTGAGATAGACTCCAGGTAACAGATCCAAGGAAATACACAAAGGCATTTTGTAATCCATTCTCACCTGTGGCATGTAGCACAACTGGAGCATAAATCTTTTTGGACATTATCTAATTTTGGAGAGTTATGGGCAGTAGATACAGTTTATATTCTGTCCATATGTTTAGCTGGTGAGCTAAACAAAAACACAAGCAAAACTCCATCAAGTTTGTCCTTTCTATTCTGGACACCATCACCAAGCAGGGAAAACTGAGTCTGGAATTTCCCTTCATATCTTGCCACGTGGCCTCCCAACTACTTGTTTCTGTTTTCTTCTGGTATGTTTACAACACTGTAATTCTTTTCAATCAAATTATAAATTTTATTTTCTTCAGATTATTGACCAATTCTTCCTTATTGTCAATCTCCTAGCTCCTTAAATGTTTGGGAAATGGTAGTTAAATTTCTTGGTACGACAGTAGTACTTCTTATTATCCAAAGCTGGAAGGATACTGCTGCTAGTTAGCTGAGGTAGGTACTGCAACTGAAAACACAAAACACAGAATTAGGTTCAAAACCCAGCCATGCTTTTTTTATTATTTAGAATACATCAAAAAGAAGTAATTAGATAACTGTGGGCACAGATTTTTTTTTCTTTTTTGGTGGTACTGTGAGTTGAACTCAGAGCCTCATACTGGTTATTTTTGAGATAGAGTCTCGCTTTATGATAGGGCCGGCCTGGACCATGGTCCTCCTGTTTGTGCTTCCCTGCACAGCAGGGACGATAGTTTAAGGCCTGGGCTAGCCTTAAACTTTTATCTTTCCAGTCTCTGCCTCCTGACTAGCTAGGATTACAGATGTGAGCCACCATTCCTGGTGCTCAGAAATACTTTATTTTGCTAACAATTCAGAACCTGAGAGAGGACAAAATGTTTCAGTTTGTTCTTTTTCTTTTAAAGGCTATAGCTCAGTGACAACGTGCTCACCCACATGCTGAAGGTCCTGGGTTCCGTCTCCAGCACTACCAAACAAACGAAACACAACACACACTGAAGAGAATTTAGAGGGCATGAAAAGGAAGGGGGAAATAGATGCACAGGGTTGAGAGCTTCCTGAGACCGTCAGCATGGTTTAAACTGTGCCCTAACAGTAGAGAAAACTGATGCAGAGCACTTAGGCAGTTCCAGAGAATGAATTATTGTCAGTATCAAATGAAAGCACATACCCACATTTTTTGTACTGTACTATTCCAGACTTCAGTGTCTGGAGAGAGGATACTTGAGTATTTTTAAGCTTTTGAATCCTTCTGGACTTAAAAACAATGCACTAGTGAGAGTCCCCTGGTTATTTAGGTAGAAATTTTTCCATCAAGTCTCTGCTCTTGAACACAAAGTAAGGTGGTGGTAACTGTGGGCTGGGGGTGGGGGAAGTCTATTTCTGGCCTGCTTTGCCATCTGGATCATATATGATGGAGAATAAAAATTAAAATTTCCAACTTTAGTAGCTCTGATCTACCTCAAGGGCTTGGCATCATTGATACATTTTCCTAATGAACATCCCACCTCTTCCTCCTCCAAACCTTACACACACTGCCCAGATACCTTCCATACTCAAGGCAGTAGAGACTGCAAATGGAAAGACTAAGGCAAGATAATTCCTAGCTTAGGAAGTACCCAGGCAAATCCAGAAGTGACCAGGAGCAGCCAGCCCATCTTGGCTGTGTTCCAACTATGGTCCATTTTAGTTATTACAGATTTTACCTTCTGATAAGACAATGTAAGGCCATTTAACCACTTTACACTAGTTAGGATTCTTTTCAGGCTCCCAGTGTGCATTTCGGATGTGATTCTCATATTAAACGTGCTGTCTCCTGATGTCACCGCAAGCACTCATAACTGGTTTTACCCCAGCCAACTCTGACAATTAAAGCTCCAGGGAGGAAAATGGCTCCTTGTTTGCATAAACCTAGAATGTTAATGGTTACAGTAAATGATAAAGAACTGCATGGGATAAACCTGGTTTTATTTTCCAATGTGCAACAGGTGCTTGTTCAGCTGCACTCGCACCAATGTACCTGGCCAAGAGCTGTGCTTGTGCCCTGGCTCCTGTGTGCAGCAGGAAACTGCAGGCTAAGGCCATCTTTAGGATCTGAGAGGAAGGGAACTCAGGAGGCAGATGTCTCGTGGGCCCTGTGACCTGCCTCCTAGTACCAGAATAAGGGTACTGGACTGCAAGCCATAATCGTTACTCTCGAGTCTAGATTCCAGCTCAGCACATGTGGCAGGTATGAGATCACTTGAAACTTGTAACCTTGGGTGTTTCTGCAAAACAGTGTGCCATTTTTACCCCAGGCAGGTGCTTTCGGCTCTGTCTTAGGGTCTTCCTCGTTGGTTTGTCATGTTCTCTTGTCAGATCTACTTCTCTGATGCTGTCAAAATATGGCTGCTGTAGCAGCTCTTCACACGTCAGTCTCTCGGCGGGGTCCATGTGGAGACAGCCCTAAAAGTACAGAAAATTCCTTCTTAGAATTGTATTCGTTTACAAAACTTTTTTTTTTTTTGTGGTACTGAGGTTTGAACTCAGGGCCTACTCCTGGAGCCAGTCCCCTAGCCCTTTTCTGTGATAGTTTTTTTCAAGATAGGGTCTCACGAACTATTTGCCCAGGCTGGCTTGGAACCACAATCCTCCTGATCTTTGCCTCCTGAGTAGCTAGGATTACAGGCATGAGCCACCAGCACCTGGCTTCATTTTTTCTTCTTTGAAAGATTAAACTTTTTAATTAATGTTTTATCTTTTTTAAGTGACATAATCATACATATTTATGGAGTATAATATTCAATACGTATATACAAATGTCATGCTCAAATCAGAGTAATTAGCATTTCTATCTCCTTAAACATTTACATTTTTTTTTGGTGGTACTGGGGTTTGAACTCTGGGCCTTATGCTTGTTAGTCAGGCAACTTTTCTACTTAAGCCACACCCCCAGCTCTTTTTGCTTTATGGTCTCGTGTTTTTTGTCTAGCCTGGCCTCAGACTGCTATCCTTCTACCTCTGCCTCCCACATGGATAGGATTATAGGTGTGCAGCACCAATGCCAGCTTGTTTTAAGATAGGATCTCTCTAACTTTTTACCTAGCTAACTTTGAACTGTGATCCTCCCATCTCTGCCTCCCTTGGTGCTGGGATTACAGGCACATACCACCATACTTGGCCCCCCCAGTATTTACTATTTCTTTGTGTTGGAAACCTTTAACTTCTCTCTTCCAGTTCTTTATAAAATATGTAATAAGTTGTAGTAGAGTATAGTCACCCTATTTATTGTGCTGTAGAACAGAACTTACTCCTCCATCTGAGCTTCAGTATGTTTTATTCAACCTCTGTATCTTCCCTTCCTAGTCTCTAGTGACCACTACTCTACTGTCTACTTCTGTGAAGTCAACTTTTTTATCTTCCACATATGAATGAGAACGTGGGGTATTTAGGAATAAGAAGGCTAACAAGTAGGAAAAGCACACCAATTATGATTTTAGTTCCTTCCATAGTCAGTCCTAAAGGGCCACCCTCATAATAAATAAATAGCAAATTGTTCTCTCCACCTTGTTCTAGTCTCCCCCACCACACACACACCCCAAAGTACTGGGGCTTGAATTCAGGGCCTGGAGCCAATCCACCAGCACTTTTTTGTGAAGGATTTTTTTTGAGATAAGGTTTATCAAATTATTTGTCCAGGCTGGCTTCAAACCATATCCTCCTGATCTCTGCCTCCTTAGTAACTAGGATTACAGGCATGAACCGTGGGCACTCAGCTCATCTTGTTCTGTTCTTGAGGCAACTAGTGCTCTGCTGAGTGGGAGTAGGATATAATTTTGGAGTTCACTTCCATGGCCAACTGAGACAATCCATTTAGCTATCTTATTCTCTTTTGGGTACTTTGTAGAAACACGTGCTTTTATTTAAAAAGAATACTTATACATGGTACAAATAAAATTCATACAGCATACAGCAGTCTCCACCACTCTGGGTCTTCCATTCCACTTTTTAGAATCAGCTCCTTTTTTTGGGGGGAAGGGAAGGGTGTATCTTTCCAGAAATAATCCACGTATTACAAACATATATAAGTTTGTATGAGTATTGTACGTAAGGAAAGGCATACATAATTTTGCATCACATTGCATCATTCCTAACTATTTTCTTTGCCATTAATTAAGCTATTGGGCCCATATTTCGATAGATAAATCTCAAAACTACAAGCCCCAAAGAATTGCTTTAATTTTTTTTGTTATAAATGCATTAGTAAATAATTTTTAAATGTATGGGAAATTGACTATAACTCAAAAAATAACTGGTACTGTACCTCATTTTACATAACAACTATATCAACTTTTAAAATCAAAATGTACTAGGGAGTTGGCAATTTATTTTGTTATTTTTTTGGTGGTACTGGAGTTTGAACCTAAGGGACTTGCTAGGCAAGCACTCTACCAATAAGCCACATCCCAATCCTGAGAGTTGGCTGCTTAAAGGATTCTACGGCTATGATTTTTTTTTTTTTAAAGAAAAGGATCCTTTTGTAAAATAAATACCCTGTTGAAATTTCTATTTTGTGTAAATTTAGATTTCTAATACAATGTTAGATTTACTTAAATATAGATATTTTTGCTATAATGGAATATGACCCATCTTAAAAAGTGAAAGGAGACTAATTCTAAAAAGAGCACTTCATTTCATGAATCGAGGTAAGTAATTCAGTGACAACTGCTGTGTGCTTCCTGGTTTATTGGAAGCCATAATTTTACCTTTAAGAGCCCCAAGGCAGGATAAGAGATGTTTGGAAATTTTAACTCCAGAGGTTCCTGTTGAAAAGAAAAAAGGCTTTTAATTTACCACATATATTCAAATTAAGGTTATTTCAAATTAAAATGTTTTTGAGTAGAAGTAGCTTCCTAGCACCTTCCTTGCCTTACTCCCTTTCCCACTCCACTTACCCATAATAACCTCTTTCCGCCTGTTTAAGTTCCTGATCTCCCAGCCTCCAGATTGCTTCCCCAAATTTACTTCGAGCCCAGAAAAAAAAAAAAAAACCCTCCAAATTTACTGCCTAATCACCCCCTTCACTTCCCGAAGGAGGTAGTAAATTATGAAAATTATGAAAAGAAGGTAGTAACTAATGAAAGACAACAATTAAACATGTCTCAAAGCAATTGTTATTTCATTTTTTTTCTGCCTCAATTTATATAACTTGCCTTTCCTAAGAATAATTTTGTGGCACTTTTAATGGCATTGTGAAAAGAGGCACTATCTATTGCGCTTATTGACATTTGATAAAGGGAGCTTCAAAGTGCAGTTTTTCCCTTCGTGTCTCCTCCTTCAAGGGCCTGCTGTCTCCCTGTTCAGCCCACATTCATCAATCTCCCATTGGCCATATAAGGCCATTTTGCGGCAGTCACATGCTGGAGTCAATCAGGAATGACACTGCAAATGGGAGGAATGTTGCTGAATGTCAGGCAAAAAGGCCAGTGAAAGAGATGTCCCACTGACAAAGGCTAACAGGAGGGGAGCTGAGCAAAACAATATGCCTGTGGTGTGCTGCGTGTGGAAAGATGGGACAGAACATGAGCTGCTGGCTGGAGCAACTGGCCAGGCTCCTCTAATGAATTGGTCCCAGTGCTGTGATCAGAGCATAGTGCTATGACAGGGAACCAGCCCCCAACAATTAATTCTCAATGGTGAACCTGCTAATCACTGATAAGACAGGAAGAGCCAACATTCAGCAGGCGGGGAAAAAATCCTAAAGCAGATTTATTAAGACAAAAATCTGAGAGTATTAATACAAAGCCCTTGAGTGGCTGTCTCTCCCCCCCATAACTTAAATAGTTGTCTTTCTGTGTATTGGATGCAAGTGCCCCTGGGGACTGACATGACATTACTGATGTCCAGCCCTGCTGTCTCAGCGACAATGCCTGGGATGAGGCTGGCTGCTTGGCTGTGATGTATCCACCCATCCTACCTGCTGAGCCAGTTTCCCAGCCCCAGAAGCCAGCAGGCCTCCCAGGGCTACTGTCCAGCACAGGGACTACAGCACAGATGTTCCACCAGTGGAGCCCCCACACTGCTTCTTCCTATGTTTCTGTCAACAGGAAATCTCCTGCAGGACAGCCTAGGGAGCCTTGTACTTACAAAGCCAGGCCTGGTTCTGAGGCTATACAGGTAGACAATCAAACAGGAAATTACTAAGGGACACTGGTGCATAACTAGGAATGTCCAGGTCACAGGGGAGCCAGCAGGGTCACCTCCCACATGCCAGGTGGCATCCCTGCCTGTCCCAACATGACCCACTTTTCCTAAGGCTCCTGCTGCAGGACCTGAAGGCGCTGGGTCAAGCCCAGGAGGGTGAGGAAAGAGACAGAAGGCAAGTACAAGGGAAGGTCAGGACTTCCAACTGGAAATGAAGCACCTGGAGGGCTAGTTTCAGTGTGAAAGTACTGTCCTCAGTAAAAATACTGGATTTCACAAACCTTGACTACGCTTTGAAAAAAAAAAAAAAAAATTTTTTTTTTTTTTTTTTTTTCAGTGCTGGGGATCAACCCACCCTAGAGTACTAGGTAAGCACTCTACTTCTGAGCTACACTCAGCCCTGAAATGTTTTTGACTAGAAAATACAGGCCTATTGGACATTTTAAAATGTACAAAAGGAAAAAGAATTTTTGAAAAATTACCCCCCAAAATCTCTCCACCAAGAAATACCCACTGTTAAATACATGCAGCTATTTACTTAACAAATGTAAAAAGTTCTACATGATTTCCCAGGTTGCCATATACAAATGTTTGTATATATGTATTGCATATTTTATTACATGTATATTTGAATTATATTAAATTACACATACTGTTTTATAATCACTTCTTTCATTTAACAATATGTGTGGACTCTGTTTTATTTTGGGGGGGCAGTTCTGGGGTGTGAACTTGGGGCTAGTGCTTAGGAGGTAGGTGCTCTTCCACTTGAGCCACTCCCTAACTTTCAAATACGGTCTTGTGTTTTTGTTGGGGCTGGCCTGGATCATGATCCTCCTATTTATGCTTCCTGTGTAGCTAGGATGTCAGGCATATGCCCCCATGCCCAGCATTATTGGTTGAGATGGAGTCTCACTTTTTTGCCTGGGCTAGCCTCAAACCAAAATCCTCCTAATCTCTGCTTCCTGAGTAGCTGGGTTTACATCTGGGTGCTTAAACTACCACATCCAGCCTGTTGAGGACTTTTTCCAGGGGAATATATACCAATCTAATAATGTTTACTAGCTTTGTGATATTTCTGTTGTATGGATGTGCCATAACTTAATCCCCTACTAAGGAAATGATTTGTTCTTTGAGCCCTTTTCTGATGGCTTTATTGGAATAAATTGTTAGAAGTGGGTTAAGGACATAAACATTTAAATTTTTTTAGTTCTTTTAATAAGTGTTTCCCCCACATTAGCCATATATGACAGGTACCATAGTCAACCTAGCTAAGTAAGATCATTGTGGATTTCCCCCTGGTTTGAGGAGTATATGCACAGTACAGCAATTTGGACTATGCTGGGGAAAAGTAGCCGCTTTTCCTGAATGGGTCAATGTCTGGGTTTGCCTAAAAGTCAACTGGGTCTGAGCTATATACATTCAACTGATGATAATGATAAAAGACAGGTACAGCCAGGGCAGGCAGCTCTGTGTTTCCCATCCAACAGGCTGGCTAAACTGTTATCAACAGCCTCTATTTAGCGCTGAAGACAAGATCTTCCTCACCAATTTACTCTCATTTTCTTTCTTACTCTTAGACCAAACTTCCAGTGCAGGTCAAGCCATGGGACTCAGGCAAGTGAGTAACTACCAAACCTAGCTAGCCTCGTCTAAAGAGCTCTCTCCAAAATGGATCACTTACCATGTCCTCAGGGTCTGGGATTTTCACCCCACTGAAGTACTGATTCGTGCTAAACGCTTGTTGGTGCCTAGGAATGAGATCCCCTTTGGACAAGAAGAAAGAGAGGAAGGAGGTTGGTTAGCAAACACTGATCTGTGGTTTCCCTCCATGGAAGTCTGTGTCTACACCCATGAAGGCTGCAGTTTTCTTTCTCCAGTCAGGAGAAGCATCTGAACGCTTAGCCTGTATTGAGCAATACAGAAGACAACAAACTGTGTTGGGCACAGGGGAGGTCAGCAACAGAAGACTGCAATGTTCTTGCTCTCAAGGGCTTATTACGTGTTTGAGGCATCCAAACCAAACAACTCAAGCACATACAAACAAATAATGCCTTTAAAAAAATAACAAAAGTGCAAGAACTGCAAATCAAAATTATATAGCTGAATACTGCTAAGATAAAAATGTATTGGCTTAGCACCTACAACAGTGCTTGACACATAGCAAGTGCTCAATAAATAATTAAAAGTGGGAGGGAAGGGGGACGATTTTCTAGCTAGAAGGAATACATTTCCAAATTGGAACCACCTTTTCTTGTTCCACCAGTTAGCAAGCTCTTGGAAATGCCATTCCTTCTACTGTTAGAAGCACTTAGAGTGTGAGGCATTGAAGCAAAAGGAGCATTTCTCTATTCCAGGGGAGTACACGAAGCTCATTCTACACACACTGCAGCCAAATGAGCTAAAATTGCCCTTCATTACACTGAAAGAGGGACTTTGCTAGAAGAATATTAGAAGGTTCTCAAGAGGCCTTCTCTGGGGCTCAGCCAGGCTGCTTTCCAGAGCAGAGTGGAAAGCAAAAGCCTCAGCCAGGATTCTGCCACTAGACTGGGCTGGAGCTCCTACACCAGGGTATCATGTTGTCTAATCTTACTGAATGGAGAACTCAGCTGCAGACAAAAAAAAAAAAAACTCCTCGCCCTGTTTTGATAAGCAATCAAAGTATAGCCTCTAATGCCTTGCCCTAGACCCCAGTGTCCTAACAGTCTTTCTTCCATCAAAACTGGACAGGTGACCCAGGGAGGGTGTTCTAAAATCACTGGAGGAACCACAGCCAAAGGCAGCTGAGAGACCCCCCTGGAAGGGCTACAAGGTCCCTGCAATGTGCAGATGATAGTGAGGGATAAGTTAAAATATAAGACACGGTCTCATCCTCAGGCACCTTACAGTACTATTGGAAAGATAAAAGTACAGGGCAAATGGGGCATGCTGTGGTACATGCCTGCAATCCTAGCACTCAGGAGGAAAAGGCACAATTCTGAGTTTAAGGTCTGCCTGGGCTCAAAACCAGGACTGGGGATGTAGCTCAGTGGAAAAGCACTTGCCTAGTATGCTCGGGGCCCTGGGTTTGATCCCCAGCACTGAAAAAATTAAAATTAAAATGAATAAAGGTATAAAACAAGACATGGTGACTGCAGATGCTACAAGAGTTTATGGAGGAGGAAAATTTGTAAAAACAATCTCTGCTGCTGCATCTTTTCATCTGGCCTTCATCCTCCCTCTTTCCTCCTCCTCTTCCCTTACCATGTCCTCCAAGGGTAGAGAGAAAGTAATGGGTATTAGGATAAGAAAGCAAGACAGGGAAAGTGAAGAACCAGCCTTTTTTCCTGGCACTTAGATTACAGATCTCCCTGCACAGAGTCTAAATAATCCAAACTAGTGAGACAGGCTGCAGTTAGGGACATCCAAATGACCCACCACAACACAATACAGAGGAAGTCCCTAATCTGAAAGTCTGAAATCCAAAATGTTCCAAAATCTGAAACTTTTTGGGCACCGACTTGATGCCACAAGTAGAACATTCCACACCCTGTCATGTGACAGCCCACTAAAAATATTGTATACAATGACCTTCAAGATATGTGTATTAGATAGGTGTACATGAAACAAATGAATTCCGTGTTTAGACTTGGGACCCACCTCTAAGATATCTCATTAGATATATGCAAGTATCCCAAAGTCTGAAACATTTCTGGTCTCAAGCATTTTGGACAAGAGATACTCAATCTACAAGTGAAATAACCATGAAAGCATTCTGCAAACTGCTAAACCCTTGTGGGAACGTAAGCTTCTACTCTTGCCAGTGTCACTTTTCAGAAATTAACTTGATCCAAGCTATGCTTAAGACAGAATCTCACGTATTCTGGACAATTGGCAAATACTCAATAATTATTCATTGTTTTTATTGAAACAAACATGGACATCTTTAGTAGAGCCATTTCCATGGAACTTCGAAGTTCACCTTTCCTAAATGCAAAAGTAGGAACTTGGCTCTGCACTGTACCAGTTTCCGAAAAAGCGGGACAAAAATGCCACTTACCCAAGGTTTTCCTAATCAGATGGAGCTGGTCCACATCTGACTTTCCTGGCCACAGAGGCTCTCCTGACAGCAGCTCAGCAAAGACACAGCCAACAGCCCACACATCTACTGGGGCACCATACTGCGTGTCCCCCACCAACAGCTCAGGGGAGCGGTACCACCTGGTAGCCACATAGTCTGTGTAGTAGTCACTTGGTCCAGCTGGACAGTAGCAGAACATGGAAAACAAAGAATCAAAACTGGATCGGAAACACCTAAGGAATGAAGATTGTGCCCAAGCTTGTGGCTTGTTGAAATTGCTCTCCTCAATCAATCACTTGGAAATAGAATACTATATTTAAAATTACTGACGCTTAGCCACACCCTAGTCCAATTAAATCGGAAGCCTTCGGGAAGGCCTAGAGCTATTAGTATAGCTCCCCAGATGATTCTAATTTGTGGTCAAGGTTTAAAACCGTGCTTCTGAAATAGCACATCTGAAAAGTATTATTTTAGCAAAAATGGGAAAATACCAAGAGGTAGCATGCTTTTTAATAACCACCTTACTGTGGTATAATTTATACATAGCATACATATCTAAACCACTGTGTTTATACATTTTCAAATTATAATTACATTACAGAATTCTGTAATTATGGACTATAATTTATAGCAAGCTTCTGCCCTACATCTAAGAACACAAGAACAAGCTTTCTCTTTCATCAAAATCCTCTGTCGTATCAAGACTGTTGCCCTTTTTTTACACTTAAGAAAACTTCAGTACTCACTCAAAAGCCGAGCAAATCCGAAGTCGCAAAGCTTAATCACTGAGTGTTTTGAGATGAGGATATTTTCTGGCTTCACATCTCTATGTATGCACTAGTTACAAAATCGAAACAAAATCATTTTTTTAATTTTATGTAGCATAAAGCACAGGAATAAAAATCACATAGCAAATATTGCATAATTGAATAATCATTTGAACCTCTTATTGGATAAAAGCAAAAACTATCAGCCTAAAATAAATCTAGTTCCATACCTAAATCCTGAATCACCCCCAAATGCCTGAAGGGCCCAAAAGGACCAAGATGACAGGAAAAATGAAAATAGGGGACTCAGATTTAACAAATAAAAATGTAAGACACCTGGTTAAATTTGAACTTTAGATAAACAATTTTTTTCTTTCTTTTTTTTTTTTTGGTGCTGGGGATCAAACCCAGGGCTCTGTGCATGCCAGGCAAGCATTCTATCCCTGAGCTATACTCCCAGCCTCAACAAATAGTTTTTAAGTATGTCTCATGCAGTATTTGGAACATATCTGTACTAAAAAATTATGCTTGTTTATCTGAACTTCAAATTGAACCAGGAGTCAAATGTAATCTGGCAACTCTAGGTGAAAGGGAAAATGGTAAAATACTCTGAGTGAGGCTGCAGGAGTTGGAGCATAAGCAGAATTCACAGCTGAGTTGCTGAGCTGAGAACAGAATGCAGCCGGCCTCCCTGGTAAACAGGACAAGCCCTGGGCCTGCTGAGATAAGCTGGAAGAGGAGGGCGGGAAGCAGGAGCTTGCCAAGAGATCTCCCTCCCTGCTGACATTTGTCCTGACAAGATAAACAGAAGCCTGGAGCAGCCTCTCCCTCTGGAGGGAGTCGCTAGATGTCAGCTCTGTCCCACAACACATCGAGTGCTCTAGGAGTCATAACCACCCCCGGGGATGTGGCCTTCTCCATAATTGACTCAAATCACCTGGTTTCCAGACCACAGCCTACATTCCTCAACAGGGTGAAATTAGACAGAAGAACGCTCGAGACTCTTCACATGACTTTTTAATTAAATGACAATGTTCTTGGCAAAAAACCAAATCAACAACTGAACAATTGCATTCAAAACCCCAGTGGGGTCAAAATACTGTTCAGTGTTCCTAATGGTGGTCCCTTCTCCCAAGGGTTTTCTCTAAGCAGGGGAATGTTGGATTTTTATGTAACTTGAGACCCCTTTGGCCTGCAGCCTCAAACCCTGGGTTATTCTTGACTTTCTAGAATTTGGAGAGGGGACAAGGGTTCCTCTTGGGCCCAACCAGTTCTCACTCCAGAGTACTTTCAGGGCAAGAGATCAGCAGCATTATTTCCCTAGGGTATTTATTATTCTGGAAAATTGGCGGGGGGGGGGGGGAAGCAACTTTTGAATTATTTTATTGCAATCTATCTGGTCCTCAGTAATGAAATGGCTCTGAGATCTCCACTCTGTCACCACTGGCTTCACCATAGTGCTATAAATGGGTACATCCATGAATATCATGACATATGGTCAGAAGGACTTGCAAGCAAGAATGTGCTCCCATTCTGGTCTGGGAATTCTTTACAAGTCTCTGTACCCTCCCCCACCTGCACATGGAGCCAAACAGAATCTGAGGCTCTCCAGGGAGCTGTGGTATGCACTGTATTTGTCTTCAGTTCCTCAGATCTTCCCCACCAGGCCCTCATATCTCTCTGTCTCTCTGTCTCTCTCTCTCTTCCTTCCTCCCTCTTTCTCTCCCTCCCTCCCTCTCCTTCTCCCCTCATCCTAAAACAGGAGAGTGCTAACCATTGCTCACAGTGACTAGCAATATAAAATGTTCGTGACTCATGCTGTACAATTTTTTATTTTCAGTGTCAGGGACAAAACCCAAAGTCTCATGCATACCAGGTATGTGCTCCACCTCTGAGCTCCACTCCCAGCCCAGACAAGGAGTCTAGCCTTCAACTAATGGAGGCTCAGTAGGGAGAGGTCCTAGCACTTTTTCTGGGAATGCAGTTTCAGAAAAAAGTAATTTGGGACAGACAAAGAAGGTGACTTAGCCCTATAGGCTCAATTGACACTGGCAGTTGATGGGATGACAGATTGCAGTCAATTCCACTTAGGGCCAAAATGAAGTTTCAAGATTGGAATCTGGATTTTTTGGTTTGGGTTTTGGAGCTGGGGATTGGAATCTTGTGCTTTTCTTTCCTTCTTTGTTTCTTTCTTTTCTTTTTATTTATTAGCATATGTTAGTTGTACAGGGGATTCTTTCTTTTCCTCTTCCCTTCTTTCCTCCCTCCCTTCCTTCCTTCCTTCCTTCCTTTTTTTTTTTTTTTTTTCCCCAAGCACTGGGGATCAAACCCAGGACCTTGTGCCTGCTAGGTAGGGCTCACTACCACTGACTTACACCCCAGCCAGAAATCTGGTTTCTATGAGTGAGGACAGGACAATACTGTGTTGGAGGGAATGGCACATGTAAAGTCATGCCACCTGGGCAACAGTCCACTGTGCCTCCCACCAACTCAGCTGTGGCCATGAGAACCAGGGGCTTGCACTGGGCTGCTTCAGTCAGACTCAGCACTCATCTCACCGAAGCAGGCACTAGCACTCCTCACTGGGCTTGGACTTCAACTACTGCAAGTAACCAGGCATGAGGCATCTGGAATCCCCCTGCCAATTTCCTTTTGGGGATCCCAGTTTAATCTAGACTCCCAGTAAAGGAGGTTCTTTCTACCTTACATTTGAGAAGTTCCTAAATATATGACTAGTTTCTTAAAATCATTTACAAAATACATGTTTTATAAAACCTGGGCAAAAAGGAATAGCTAGTTTGGTCTTTTTAAGCCTCTTATCCCAAGTGGGCTTGTGAAAGTTTGGGTGCAAAATTATACCTAAGAAAGTATACAACTTAAGAACGGTCTTAGATTTTTCAAGGAAGATTGTGAAACTTACATTGTGTTTATGGCAAAAATTTACAGCTTGCAGTGTCTGCCAAGTTATACTCTTCACGAGATGTTCTGGTACCCTAGTAAAAATAAAGAAGCGACACAAACACATTTTTAGGATAGTTATGGAATTCAGCCCAGGAAAAGAAAAAGTAAACCAAGACAGGCTTCAGTATTAAAAAATCCTAGGGGAAACAAAGAGTCATTCCACTGGTCCAAAGTGTGACCAGAACTCAGTTGAATTCTAAGGAGAGTAAGTTAACAAAAATGTGAACCTCTCCTTCTACATGGAGGGACCAGGACAAACCACAGGGACTCCACCAAGTATTCAATACCACTGGGGAATTTGCCTGGAAACCTGAGTTCCATTTGTATAAGGCATTTTTTGTTGGTATAAAACTAATATACATCACAAAAAATGCTACTTATTTTTTCAAGTTGTCCCAAACTGATGGCCTTGAAGCATCTGCCTGTGGTCTACTGTTCCCAACTTTCTTTCCTGACTATATGCTGGTTGAACCAGGACAACCAGAAGCCCCAGCAAGTGCTCTGTGTGAATTAGAAAAAAACACCTCACTGGGGAGCATTTTTTTAAAAATATGGGGTAATGAGTGAAATGGACTACAGAGAGAATGCATTTATTTTCAGACACCCCACCCCCATTTGGATTTATTGTTTTTAATGAATTAAACATTGAACTTTGTTGCTGTGGACCTCAGTCAAAACTAATAAGTAGACCAGGGAGGAACTTCTGAGTAGTTGTGCTAAAGGTGACCACAAAAATTCACTTCTAGCCCCTGGGAGAGGCCACAAGGCCACTGTTGTCACAAGCCAGATGGTCAGGAAATCCTTTCAAGCAGATCAGAGGATGCTTAAACAGAGAGTGGGACACCAGGAGGAAATGGAAAGGCCACCTCCAGGAAGAATGGCCAGGATATTTCTGGATCAGGACTATGTCCCTGGACTGAAGGAGCTACTCTTCAAATCCTCTTCCTCCTTCTAGAGGCACGTAGGCACCAGTACTAGAAAAACTCACCTGTCAGGAAGGAAGGCCTAGAAAAATGCAACTAAGTTTCCTCCAGCCTCCACATTTTGTTCCGAAAAAATAGAACACATTTTAAGGAACATTAAAAGTGAATTATAATAGTAAATCACTATTAATGTTGCCCTAAAGCTGAGCACGTTATTACGCAATTCTCAAATGTAGAAACCCTGTTGAAGCTGCAGTGTTGCCTTGGGCTGGCTACTCTCATCACTCCTTTTTACTCATTATCTTCTCTGGAACACAGGAGCCTCAGATTTTAAGATCCCATTTAGCTGCCCATACTCTTAGATGTTAACTGGAGTCACTGCGGGAGAAGAGATTTACATAGAGAGGGAGAGAAATAGAATATCTGGAGGTGTTGGGCTGGGATTTGGAGATAGGTATGTATTTATAGATATATGTGTGTATATACGTGCTTATACACACACATGGAAGAGAGAAAGAGAAACAGGGAGAGGGAGAAGGAGAAAGGCTATATTTGGGCTGTATTTTTTAAAAAGAGCCTTCATGATTTCTGAGGGATTGGATGGGAGAAAGAAGAATCTGCGCCTTCTGGATGTCCACGGGAAGACTGAGCAGGAGTTCTGACTTCAGAAGGAAGGCCAGGCTGGAAATACAAATTTGAGAAGCATATCGGTAGTATCCAGATTAGATTAAGAAGTGGATGCAGAGGATGAAGTGGAGTTCACAAGTAGTTCTGGGCTGTTCAATGTTCAGAGGTCAGAAAGAGGAGTCTTCAGGAAGAAGACTGAGTTGAGCACAGAGAGAACTAAGATATCACACAGGAGAGCACATGACCACAGAACCCAGCTGAAGAAAGTGCTCCAAAGATTGAACAAGCCTGCCTAGTTTCATTCCCTTCCCAAACCTGACTAGAATACATCAAAGATATTTTTCCCAAAGACAAAAACCCACATGGTCAAAGAGAATAGAAGAGATAATGGCAACACATTTGGATTCCAGAAAGCAATTGAATGGTTAAGTGACTTAACAGATTCTAAAAAGCTGGAATCTAAACCAGGAGAAGGAAAGTGGAGAACTGATCACTTTACCTGCCTCCTCACCCCCAAAGGATCCTCAAGAGGCTCAGGCACAAGCAGACAAGATCTCTATGGAGCTGGAGACGAAGGAGGAGTGTGGAAAATTCACTTAGGAACAGTGAATCCTTAGACCTCTTCCCCTACTCTACGCCAATACGTACCACTCTTTCCCCTGCTTGCTGGAAGGCTGGAGTTTATTTTCTGGAGGGGATGAAATAGAGGATGTTTGTCAGAGTGGAGATAGTGGACTGAAAACGTGATCACACGATTGTACTCATACCAACTAAGTGCATACTGTGTACATACTGTCCTGATCCATAGCTGAGTACACAGCTGAGATTCCCCAGCCCTCCTTCCTCACTAGGCTGAGAGAAAGCTGGCAGTCAGTCGCTCTCCAGTCACTCTCTAGGCAAAATATTGGAGGACATTTTAGGGGGGAAACTCAAGACCAAAGATCTGAAGATTCTGATATTAGGGTACCTAGCAAATAGCCCAGTTAGATAACTAACTCCACAGTGAAACTCAGAGCTTCCAAGAATTCTTTACTCTGAAACATGAGCATACAACCAAAAATCACATGTCCAAGAAAAACCTCCAAGAAGAAATTCATGCTGTGCAAGTCTGTAACCCAGCAGAGGCAGAGGCAGGAGGATCATAGGTTTGAGGACAGCCTGGGCTACCTAGTGAGACTCTGTCTCAAAAAAACAAAGGGGGTGGGAGAAGAAAAGAAAAAAGCTGGGGGCGTGGCTCAAGTGGTAAAGTGCTTGAATTCAAACTTCAGTACCTCAAAAAAAAAAAAAAAGCTAAGAAAATCAGAGACCAAAACAAAGAAACATTTTTTAAAAATCATTAAAGAATAGGGTACAGAGAACTGCCCAAGAGTCCAACAGCCAAATAATAGAAGGTCCAAAAAATAAAGAAACCAAAGGATAGGAAATCAATAATGAAATTTTTTTTTCCTCAGGAAGGAAGAGCATGCTGAATGAAAATCAAAGCCCATGATTTTTATAATCTGAAACCATCAGAACAAAGAGAAGATTCTCTGAACTTCTGGAAATAAAAAAGGGAACAGGACTTTATAAAGGAGCCGAAAATAGAATGGCATCAGACTTCTTAACAGTGCAGAAGATAGAAGGCACTAAAACAATGCCTTCAAAAATTTGAAGGAGTTTTCCAACCAACCAACGGTAATCTATACACAAACTATGAGCCCAATGTGAGAATAAAGACTTCTAAAGCAAGCAAGGGCAAGACTTGTCTCCTGTACCTCTCATATACTCGCTCTCAGGAAGCCCCCTGGAGGATGCAACCCACCAGAAAGAAGTAGCCAATTGAAAGATTTTATCAGACTGAGGGAAGTGGAGCCCCAACACAGAGGGAAGCAGGGGTCCACGGGAGGATGGTGAAGGAGACGGCAAGCCAACTGCACTCCAGGCATGGAAAACAACCAGTCCTGATTGGAACCGAGTGACTCAAGAGCCACGCACATTGAAGGCTGCCATCATCATGACCTCTGCCTTATACCATCTGAAACAAATATGGAACTACATAACAAACAAACTTAAAAGTTTTGAAAAACTCTGGGGGACTGGCTAGACCTTTCAGACTAAGGCAGATGTTCTCAAAGCTGTAGCCTATGCTGATGAAGCTAAGGAACTCACTTCAGTCTACAGTGTTGGTTTCCAAAATGGTGGTCTTGCTATGCTCTGGCACAGAGAGCAGAAGTTCAGGAACAGTGATGAAGGGAAGGAGTCCATTTCTCCAGTGGGCCATGTGCAGGTGACTCATGCCTGTAATCCTAGCTGCTTGGGAGGCTGAGATCAGGAGGATTGAAGCTGGAAGCCAGCCAAGGCAAACAGTTTGCAAGATCCCATCTCCAAAATAACCAGAGCAAAATGGACTGGAGGAGTGGCTCAAAGGGTAGAGTGCCTGCTTTGCAAGTGTGAAATAGCCTGGGGGAAGATGGGCTTTCTCCTGGGTCTGGTTGTCTTCCACCTTAAGATTAGGCTACTGAACTCTAGGCAAGACATATCCCCAGGTCCTCTTCCTTGTAAACAGAGCTCAGAAGAAGCTGGCAATTTGCACTGTGCCTCTTGGACTCCCAGCCAGATGGGACAGGTTTGGCAGGATTTGTACTCCTGAAGAAGTCAGCTTTCCAGACATAGGCATAGAGGTCTAGGCAAGGTATGAGAAATCAAGCAAGGACATTCCCTTTGTTTTCTGTCCCAAACCAAGATAGAAGAGGCTTGGGAAGGCTTGCCTTCCTTCAGTGGGTAGTCAGGTGGTCTTCCTTGAGGCCATCAGTTCAGTTGCCTTACTGAAAACTATAATTGTCCCTTAGGAGCCCACTGGGCTATTGCCCAGCTCTGTAGAGGTCCTCCTGCCAGGGAGGGTGGAAGGCAATCCCTCTACCAGTGGGAAGATGTGGAAGAGGCGCTGAGTCCCCCGTCAACAGGACCCACTGTGTTCTTTCTACTTGCTTTGAGAATTTTGTTTACTCCAGGGACAAAAAGGGCTCCCAACTGCTTGACTTCAAGGAGGCTTGAGGGTGGGAAGGTGCACATTAGAAACGTCTGTGCTGGAGAGCCTTGGTACCCGCGGGTCTGAGGTTTCCCGAGGCCCACTGAGGAAAACCGCGCATGCGCAGCATCTCCGCGCTCAGCGCGTGCTGGGGATGCTTCATTCCCTCATCTTTCCCACTGAAGACAGGCCACCTTTCAAACGTCTCCCGTTTTCACTTGACCACTTCAGTCAAGCACATTCACATTTTCCTTGCGTTTTGGGCATCCTTTATGTTTTAGGAGGCAGAATACCAGGAAATTAAGGGCAAGGAAATACTCAGCAGGTCACGCAAGGATTTGAACACAACTGATGATAATGAGTGGCTGAGCCTTTCTGCGTCAACTGAGCTGCGGAATGTGCATGGAATCTAATTTTTTTTTTTTTTTTTTGCTTTTGAAACTTCTTTTGATATTTTTACTTATTCTTTTTTGAC